GCGACGGCGCCGGTAAACAAAGCAGGCCGACTGTCCGGAGAACGCCAGCCCCAACATCTGCCCGCCGGCATTCCGCCGCGTCGGCTCGCAGGGCCGACGCATGGGCTCCGGCGACGATGCGGCGATAGGGTTTCAGACCTAGCATCTGACAGTGGGGCCTTTGTTAGTGTGGCTCGGCTCGGCGCAGGGCAAAAGTCTTGTTATCCGCGGATAAACGCTAGTCTACGGGGAGGATAGCGACTGTGTTCCTGCACCATTGTATCCGTTTATCACCCTTTCACTGCTAGAAATGTGAGAGCATGAGTTTTGGGCGTCGTAGCCTCTAAAGTTGCTGCGTTGACACCTGAGTGCCACTGACACAAACAAAGCTCACCATGTGCTACCAGCGACTGTGAGAAATGATGGCGCAGACAGCCGCTACTTTGGCAGCCGCGACCCCTTTACTTCCTCCTCCCCTCCTCCCCCCCCCCCCCCCCCCCCCCCACCAACGCACACCATAACAAACATGCCACCAACGGTCTGTAAATAGCCATTCTCCCCCCGCTGCCCGTGTCTGTGCCCCACAATCCGTCGCCGGGCACCAACACACACGCCCAACTACGGACTAATATGGAGCCACACGGCGCGATGGTGCGAACGCGATTGGCGCGTCGACGGTACGACGCTCATCCTGCCCGGCATTTAACTGCGGAGCACTGCGACTGAGCGGGCCGCAAGTGGGGCTTGGCCGAGACCTGGCCGGCCGCTCAGCTATACTTACCGCCGCCTGACGACGACGCCCAGCCGGCGGCCTGGCGATGGAGCCGGACCGCACGGCGCCCTCCGGCCCCGTGTGTGGTCCGGTGTGAGGGAGTGGCCAGGATCGGCGGCCGGGACGCTGACCAGCGACGCCCCGGGTCCCGACGCGCCTGGTGTCATGCCGTACTGCGGAAACGCTGACGAGGGTCGCCCGGGCCCTGCATCCCTGATGTGCCTGTGATAGAAGGGGAAGCCAACGGGGGATGACCGGGTCCCGACGGTCCAGATGCCCCTGTGGTGAACCACAAAGAGCAGACAGCGCTGACTAAGGACTGGTAAACAGACTTTTTCCCTAAACTCCTCATGAATCTTAATGAACAAGACGAACCTTTAGTTCCCGGGTTTTGGACATTCTGAGTTCTTAGGTTATAAAGAACCGACCTCCAGTATACTCGCAAATGGTTAAAATTAGCAGGAAACCAGTAGTATAGCGGTAAAGCTGCGCGTCTGTGAACCCAGAGGCACGGGGTTCGATTCCTGCCCGCCATTCCTGCCTGGGCAAGAGGTCAGTATAGCGGTTAAGCTGCGCGTCTGTGAACCCAGAGACACGGGGTTCGATTCCTGCCCGCCATTCCTGCCTGGGCGAGAGGCCAGTATAGCGGTTAAGCTGCGCGTCTGTGAACCCAGAGGCACGGGGTTCGATTCCTGCCCGCCATTCCTGCCTGGGCAAGAGGCTGTCGACGCCGTATAGCCTCAGCAGCTGAGTGCGTCGTAAATCCGTAATAACACATGCTTACAATGAGAACTCATGATCATCAAGTGGACAGTATTTTAAACGGAACCCCATCCAAATAAAACTTACTTTGCCAAAAGTGATCCAAGTCAGTTGTTATTTAGGCAAATCGCTTGACTGCTTCTTAACTTGAGTCTGAATCCAGAAAAATGCGGTTTCGATCATTGTTAAAATCGGTGTGATTTGAATAATCTATATTGGGCAACATCTCAGAATTTCACAAACTGGTCATGCCCAGTGAGCAAGCAAGTTTTTGAGCGTCTATAGTAACTGAATGGGAAATCTTTGTCGAATCCCGTGTAGCTAATGCTTCACGCACTTCCGATATGTTCTGGTAAGCCTTCGCTGTCATGCTATAGGCTATGCGGTGTGTTATCAGGTCCAACCATATTTCCACCGATTACATGAAGGGCTATCATTCATCCTGTCATTTATGTTCATCAGACATTGACCCCGCCATTCTACAAATCTTGAGCAGAGCTTGTGACCTGTCCCTGACTCAGGTTAACTGAAAGGTTACTTATATGACTCAAACACAAGAGCCTATTCAAATGTCTTTTGATGAAATGAGAAGAATCACTTCAAAGGCTATGGGCTCTAACCAAATTTTATTCACAGAAAGCTTGTGTGATTATATATTCGATTCTGCGCCTGGATCGAGTCCATCACAAGACTGCCGGTCAGGGTCTGATCTGACCACGTGTGTCCATCTGTCACGTAAACACGACTGAGAGAACGTATTGCGGCATGTGTGGTGATGGGGTGTCGGCGACATGGCGACATCGACATGTGCGACAGTGGTGAAAAACGCGAGCAGCAACACACACCAGATACGTCCCTCTGCCCCTTACCGCTGGCGTATCGTAGCTAGCGTTGCATGACATTCGGCACTGGGCTGAAGGACACAACTGCATCTCGCCGACCGGCGAACGTGAGGGTGTGCAGCGCGCTGCAGGTGAAGGGCGGGATCACAGCTGGCACTGGCCAGAGACTGGTCCGCTGGGGCGTCCAGTGGGTGTTGTGCGATCCACACAGACGGTCCGCTGGGACGTTCGGAGGGTGCCGTGCGGTCCATGCAGACGGCGGCGGCGCTGGGCGACAGATGCACTCAGTTCAGCCCCAGGTGGCTGGGGAGGGACAGAGCGGATGCCCCCTCCTCCTTGCGGTAGCGAATAAAGATGCCCAGAAAAACGGTGCAAAGCTAGACAGCTGGGGGGGGGGGGGGAGACGTGGGCTGTGTCCATCAGAGGTCGTCCCGGCCAGAAGACCAAGGCGTCAGCAGAGACTCACATAGTCAACGATGAGAGAAGTGGAAGGGCAAGCTCAACAAATACAATCTCGCTCACGCAAACCATCTCATCCTAAAAGTCATATTTACATGCGCACTGTTTATGAATATGATTGATCTGAACCGGTTGGCTTTCTGGTAGGCTGTCGTGTGTGCATTCAATAACTGACAATCGGAGGCGGTGTCACGCTCAGGCCAGGACGCGCGGGCGATGAATCGGCCAAAACATTTGGCCGGTGCTTCAACCCCACCTCGCCCATGTCCACAGCTTCTGACTATGTCCGCGGCCGTAGAGTTTCCTGTGTTGCGTCCAGGCGCACCAGTGGTGCAGAGACAAGGCCACAGCTCACCATTCATGGCAGGGGCGCTCCATCTGACACCACGCGAGGAGCGCACGGGCCATGTTACGGCGTGCCACTGTTTTTACAGGGGATGGGTGCCACGTATCATTACGGACCTCACAAAAAGGTCGCATTTTCTCAACCTCTCCATTTTAATGATGGAGCTCACTGGCTGACGCCTAGAGCAGGGGCTGGTTTAAACGGAACAATGGGTCTGATTGAACGGCGGGCGGCGGGCGGACTGAACGCACGGGAAGAGCCGGGGGCGACGGCGGCCGAGCCTCGCATTCTGAGCCGCCATGTGTGTGAACCGCCGGAGCGACGAGACCGGCCGATGTTTGGCCCGCCTACCTCGGCCCCACGGAGATAGGCTTTGCAAACACGCCGCTTTCGTGATGATGCTGATCTCTGATAAGAAAGCCAAGCGAACCGTCCAAAGAAGGCTGGCATGGGTGAGCTGGGAAACGTGGAAGGTCTGGAACTGCGCAGCCTATTGGAAGAAGAACACAGACATTTAGCGTAGGGAGTGCATGGCGAGATGCAAGTTCAAAACACTCCAATCCCCCCCATCCATGAAGTGTGTGTGTGTGTGTGGGGTGGGGGGGGGGGGGGGGTATTGAACCACGTCTTCGTTAATGGGGGCGCATTTCTGTTGTGATGGCGTTCTTTATGGACACAACTCAAATGAAGTTTAAGATACTGAAATATAATTTGGGCCCGGATTTGAAATAACAGTCAGAGGGCCCTTTGCGCCGCTGGGGGACCCCTGAGTCAATATGGGACTATGTGTCGGTCAGGTACCTCCAGTGACACGCAGTCGGCTGCGTTTCGATATGGGCTTGGGGGCCCACAGCCCCATCAGCTGTAAAGCCGCAGCCACTGATTTACACTGTTCGGGACCTTGTATCTGTCAGGGGCTCACAGCGCTTAAAAAAAGCGTTCTGTACTCGCAAGGAACCTAAGCTGATCAAGGGAAGTGCTCGATGAGACCCGAAGGGAGGCCCATGCTGCCCACCGGAACCGACGATCAAAGGCCCGGTTTGAGGTAATAAGGGCCCGAAGAACTGGCCGTAGGTCACATAAAGAATCGCGGTTTGTATGGTCGTGATCTGAAATATCATTGGGAGGTTCTCTTGCACCGTTTGAAGGACCCCTGAGATAATGCAGGCGTCTAAATTGTTCAGAGACCACGAACACCACTGGACCATTGTAAATTGGAGAGCGCCTGCGATTTATTTCACCCAATCATCCGCAAGACTTTTCAGTTTAATGGCGATAAACTTGAGACAGAAGTGACCTCGCGGTATCGTCTGGCCTCTATTCCAGCTATAAAACGCAAAAATGTATATATATATATATATATATGTATATATATATATGATATCTAAGAGCATGCCTTCATTAACAAATGGGCCGTATCCGGCAACTTTTGGAGGCCTTTCAGTGTCAGGGGGCCTTTTGTCAACCCTAGTGCTGTCACTGCCATGTTGCCCATGTTGACGGCAGACACTACATTCCATACGTGGCTGTCAGTTGTGTGGCCAGTAACCACGGCCTGAAGCTTTAACAGTCATCATCCATGATATTTGACATGACCACGCGTTCGTTACTGGGTACGCGTTTCTGTTTTGGTGCCATTTTATATGGACGCGACTCAAATACAGTTAAGGCTACCGAAATGTTATTTGGGTCCGCATTCCACCTGGTGGGTGGTGCGCTGGTGGTTACGCCCATGCCATGAACTGAGGTCTTGTCACGACTGAGCAAGAAGTGGCTGCTTACACGCATCGCTGATGTTACCAGATTGGGCGCGGCCTATAATGTCGTGTGCCGGTTTCAGGTAGACCATGTCGGACAGCAAGTCCAGCTCGCGCTCTGGTAGCAAAACGAACCTGAACGAGTCGTCCCTGCCACTGCTGGAGGCGCAAGCTGAGTCGGTGGCTGAAGGCAAGGGCGACACCCCGGAGAAGGAGTGCATCGAGCTCACACACGACGAGAAAGACGACAGTTCGCCTGAGAAACAGGTATCGCCCAGGCCGGACGGGTCCTGGCGACGCAATGCAGGTTCTGTCTGTCTCCCGATCCGCGACCGGTCGCCGCTGCCGGAGAGGGCGCGGGCTCCGCTGAGATGTGTGTCCGAGGCAGCACAGGTCCGGGCACAGAGTGCCGGCGAGTGTTCACTGACGTTTCTTTCGGTCTACTGTCGTCTGTGTACGGTAACCCGTTCTCCCAGCCACGACGACGGGATCTGAATTCAGGGCCCGGCGAAGTAAGACGGCAGAAGGAGCCTGCCAGCAATGGCGTACAAGCGTTCTGATCACATTGCGTTCTGACCACGCTACATGGTCAAACTGGCATGCGGTATCTGGGAAGCAGCCAAGGGAGCCCTCTGACCCCCTCCCCCTCCCCTTAGACCCGAATTTGTGCTCTTCACCACAGAGGCCCGCTGACAAAAAATAAAAAAATGGGCATGACGCGTACCCACCGAGCTCCAGGCAGTCGGGTTGTGTTGGAAGCTGTGAAGTTGTGAAGGATGCAGTTGTGTTAGTGTGTAGTGTGCACATGCGTACGCACACGTAGTATTTCTGAGAGGAGATTGCGCACGTCCTGTGCAGTGTCTCACGCGAAGCCGATGCGGCGGACGGCCAGCATAGCTGGGGTCCGCTGGTCGACCCGAGTGACCTCAGAGTCGCTCCCCGCGGCCGGCCGCCGACGCCGCCGCCTGATCGCATGGCCGGTGGCGCTAAGGTTTGATTAGTTCGGGGCACAGACGGCCAGCTCCAGCGACGCCCGGTCCCGTTTTGACGTCATATGACCGCAAACCATATGTGAGCACCATCTCGCAGCGCAATCGAAACGCACTGTTATGCAGCGGCAGGCCCGGCTGCAGACACACCTCCTCAGCCCCTGGTCAATTTCCTAGCCGCCCACAATTTGTTTTGAAAACACTTAGATCATATCAGAGAGTGTTTTTTTTTAAAGCGGATGATATTGACCTACACATCAGCCTCCATGATTTAAAGAATTTAAACTACTTCCACAACTGCAGAATGACACATTGTTTCCACGTGTCTGGAACCGTGCTGGCTGATATAGAAAGGGCACAGACGTGACCTACTCATACGTTTCAGGATGACAAGTCATCGAAGAAGGACAAGAAGCAGAAGTCCGGCAAGGTGTCGAAGCCTCCGACGCTGCAGCAGCTGACGCGTGATCTGGATCTCAGCCACAGAGACTCGGCCGGTATCAACGACTTCGTCAATGTGAGCGCACAGTCCGTCGATCCCGGCTAGGCGGCACAACTGATGCTAAGTAGAGTGACGGGGATTCTGAACGCTCAAGCCGGGCCTGGAAGGGACACCGATGGCATGTGCCCTCATGAAATTGTTATATGCATGCATGTCCAAGTAAATAAATGTCGATCATTAAACAATCCAGAATGGAGGGCTTCTGATTGTCCATTTACGGAGTTTCGCTGTCCAGGGATCAAGTACCTACTTCAGTTCTGTTACAGTTCAGTTCAGTTACTATTTTGCTCAGTTACTAGATCACGTAGAAACTCTTGCGTGGCTCTCCCACAACAGGGTCACCTGTTTCAGAAAAGGGCCTCCGGATATGCACAGGGGTCACCTAATCCAGAATAGGATGCTTCCGATTTACGAAGGGGCCTCCAAATCTAGCCAAGAGGCCTTGTTACCCCAGAACAGGGCGTCTTGATCCTGAACCGTGGCCCTCTGATGCATGAAAGAATCTAATGTTCCAGAAATGGGACCTCCTGAATAGGAAGGGTGACTCGCAACCCGGAACAGGAGCATCGTAGTTCGAAGACGAGCCAGAAGATGGGCCTCTTGGTCCAGAAAAGGGTCGCCTGAGCCCAAGGTCTCACTGTTCAGTTCCTCAGTTTTGGGGGTCTCCTGGGTCTGAATTTTGATAATCTACGGGTAGCTACAATGATAATAGTTTTTGGGAAAGGGTCTCCCAAACATTTTGAGGAAGCAACTACATACCTTTGCCCCTGCCTGCCGGCAGGGGGGGGGGGGGCTAACTGCTTCCTCTGTTCCCTCCGTCTGCTGCGTCGCCCCTGCCATCAGCACGTGATAGGTTACACGTGCTGAGTTGATCCCAGCCGCTGATGTGCCCGGCAGGTAACCCTACTACACGAGTTACACGACGATTCGACTATACGAGTTCGCAAGAGTTACTCGATGCCAGATAACCACATTGCGCAGTAACACTTCTGCCACACACACACAAGAAATAGTTATTGCTTCCTTCAAAAACGTAAATGAAGGCATGGCGTCATTCCATGAGGGAACATAAATATTTGTGCAAATGGGTGGACCCGCACCTGTCTGAACGGCAAATTTGCTTCACACGCACGAGACGAGCGGGGCGTTATCGTTCCCACGAGCTCTGGTACACTGTTCAATGATTACTAGCCGGGTACAACAGCGACAGATATCAACTCCAGCGTCAGCCAGCCAGATGCGCCACATCACGTTCCAGTAGTGCTGGCGGCGGGGCCTGGGCTGAACGTTCAGAAACCAAGTCGGTCCATGGTGCAGAGGTGTAATGCTAAAATTCCATCACAATGACCCTCAAGATACCTATAGATTCGTACATTACAAGATGACATAGAAACATCAAACTCAAGACGCTCGCCATCTGGCTCCATGGCCCGAAATGTGGTCCCGGCTCGCGATCAAAGGAGGCATGCAGCGCCGGCCAGCGCCCAAGGCGGCGACGCCAGCCCCACATTTGCCGCAGTGAAATGCCTCGGTTTGTGTATGCTCACTTCCTATGTGTAACGGTCCGCGGCCTGTGACGCGTCCCCTCCTGCCTACCCGTCCCGGCCCCGCACTCTGTGGTCTCCCACGGATGCGGTGAGTGACCTACTGGCCGGGGAGTTATGTCTGTGCCGTTCAGCGCCCCTTCACGGCAGCAGTCTTGGCGGGGTTGGGCCCAGCCGTCTTTGTGGTCCCCTACCACGGCGGCAAACGGTGTTTCGTTATTATCGGTGCGGGCTGCAGCCCTTCCGTCTGGTACTGAGCTTAATTGGGCCTTCCGTTGTCGTTCATAATTTGCTCGGTCCCTACAACGCACGTGCCGCACTTAATTATATTGTTTGCATGGTTTGCTCGGAACAAAGCAAAAAGCAAAAGCAAAAAGCGCGCGTCTCTTTTGAGCTGTGTAATGGCGGCTGTGCAGCCTACCGGACCAGTGATCTTCACATAGTGGTCGATGACCCTGCTCAGCCAGCGGGGAGGGGGGAGGGGCTGGGGCTCGGCAGGCGCCTGCCCTCCCAATGGATGGCGCGCCCCTCCGCCGCAGTGACACATTAGATGACGGGACGACACGCCGTTTCGTTCCCGAATGTTTTGATGGTGAACTGGCCTGATCGCATTAACTGACGTTTGCTTAAAGTTATTTTTCTTCAAAATTTTCGCTCACAAGTACCGCGCGACATGAATTCAGCACATGGGATACCTCCGCCTTCTTAGCAAGCAGAACATGCTTTATGCGCCACGGGCAGACGTGCTGAAAGAGTTGGTGGGGCCAAAGTGATCTGAGAGGGAATCATGCGGTGGTGAAAGGTTTAAGTTAAGTTGATTTCTTGTGACAAAGTAAACCTGCCGTGCCGCATCCCCCCCCCCCCCCCTTACGTAGGCCAGTATGTTACCCAGAGTGTAGAAGGTCAGACTGCTGTCGCTAGGGCCAGTTATTTTGGAATCGATCTCAGAGTTCGGGCACATTCCCGAGCCGGAAGTTCTCTGGACTCAGAATTGTGCTTTACTGCTCGGTGGCAGCGTCGGGATGATATCCACGCGCTGGGCTGGGTGATTGCGTCCGAAAAAATACGCCGAAGCAGATCACTTACAAGCCTAGGGCGGTACGGTGCGCATGCTTAAAACTACGTGATCAAAAGAACCCCATCTACGTCGTGATCTGGCCTCCCACGCGTGCCCGTGACCCCGTAACGTTCCATGCTGTGACCCGCCCCGCCCACCGCCTGCCGTCACACCCGCCGCAACTGAGCCCGCGGGTTGACCTGACGACCCGGCCGCGGTCACAGGTCGACTTCAGCCACGTGCTGGCCGAGCCGACATCGACGCACGGCTTCGACCCGCTGTGGCGTCTGTCGGCGCTCACCTTCCGCGGCACGCACCGCTGGCTATACCGGCTTCTGGCCGCCGTAGTGGCGCTGCCGCTCAGCGTCGCCTGGGGCGCCGCATTCGCGCTCATCTCGCTCGTCTCCATCTGGGCCGTCACGCCCGCCCTCAGGATCATCAAGCTGCTGCTCAGCATCACACGCCAGGCGAGTGTGCCGCTGGAGGGGGCGAAGGGCGCCGCGGTGGCCGGCCGCTGGCTGCGGCAGATCGGCTGTGTTGGATGACCTGGGACAGAGGCGTAACTTCCCATTCAGCAGGGGAGGGGGAGAGGTTCAGCTCCCCCACACACTGTGAGAGAACAATTAGCCAGGCTGGGACAAAACCCCGTTTTTAGCCGTCTGCTTGGGCTAGGTCTAGCCATTCTTCCCTGCTCAGCTCCCCGCTTTGAGGAACTACGCCCCGGGCTGGGGCGGCCCCCGCAGTAAAGCCGGAGAGGCTCTGGGCGCGAACTTAGGCCACTGGTGCGTCGGTGACTAGGCCACTGGTGCGTCGGTGACTAGGCCACTGGCGCGTCGGTGACTTGCGTAGCCCCCCTGTTGGGCCTGGTGTCAGTTAGCTGGTTGCTTGGCCGGGCCAGCCTAATGCAGCCTAATGCAGCCGTTCGCCAGCGGCAAGCCGCCGCGCTGGCGGCAGCTGACGCCTGACACGGTATCTGGTCCGGCACAGATCGTCGACGCCAGCTGCAAGACAACCATCGAACCGCTTTACAAGGCGATGGGCGGCGTGTTCTCCAACATCAACATCGTGCACCAGAAGCACGTCGTCTAGAGCCGGGCCCACGCCACCACTCGTCGGGTGGCGGCACATGCCCAAACGGCGGCCCGACCGGCGCCAGGCGGCGGGACTGTGAGACCTGACGCCGGCCTGCAGCCGTGGGACCACGCCGGCCGCACCCCAGCACCAGGACGCAGCCCGGCCGGCCCAGCTCCCGCACAGACGGTATCCTGGCGCGCGCCCGGGCGGGTTGGGAGGATGCACTGAACCTGCCGCGATCTGACGACAGGGCTGGGGCTTGCAGATTGGCGGATTTTTTGAGCGGACAAGAGGGTTGCGTTTCAGAAAAAACTAAAAACTCTCAAGAAATAATTTTCTACGTACATGAAAGTTTTGGATTACAAATGTCATGCTTCTTGAATACAGTATTGCTGTGCGTAATGAATGTCGTATATAGTTAGCCCACATGCAAGAGGTAGTTAACATGAAGGATCCATGCACCTTTCTACACGGATGTCTGTAAATGGTGTTCGGACATGTGAACCATATCAATACAATGCATTTGAACCATATAATTTTGTGTAGCTTTATCTTTCAAAAACTCATATCTACATACAATGTTGACCAAAACAATGTCATAACACTGACTGTTAGTCAATATTTCCCCAAAGCAACACAAATCGTCCACACATCTTACAGACCAGTGCACATTGAAGTGTTTAAAGTGTGCAAAGCCTAGTGTCTTCTATGACTCTTTATTCAATGGACCTAATCTGTCACCGCTCGTGCTGCTACTATCGCGACTACCCACATCCTACGGTATCGCGAGCGTCAGGGAGCGCTATCTTGACGCGCGCACGGATAACGCGGCGTTCACACGTTGGTCATAACATCAATGCTCCACTTGCTCGTCGAAAAGCGTACGCACATTCAAACTGCAGCTTTCACCGCGGCAATATTCAGCGGGCCAAGGCATGAGGGTGTTAGACCTGGTCAAGAAATCAACCGAAACGGCTGACAATTTAGCCCATACGCTGATACAAAAACAAAAACTGTTGCAACAAGCGCCGGAGTATCGAAGGTGACGATGGGACTTAACACAAGAACAACAAACAGAGCTTGTCCATGGGTCGGAGTCGCTGCCTAGGTATCACAGATCGCGAGGAGGCGGCAGGAAGAAGCGCCGATTGAACTCGGCTTCCGAGAGCCGCAGCATACGACAGCTTGAAGTGGCGTGCTCCTGGAGGTAAGGCACGCGGCGTTACAACCAAAACCGAACACACACCGTGTTACACATATGATCTATACTGCCTGCCGAGGCTCCACGACGGACGCTGTTGTCACACGAAGCAGTTTGAACCTGAGGTCTCCTGCCGCTCGAAGCTAATGCACGATGACCGCAAGTGTCTATGAACCTGTACGGCGTTCCGAATGCTGAGTACCATTAAAACAAGTCAGCAATGACATCCAACGGTCAGACGTCATCCCTCCTCCGCCAGAGCTCCTGTAGCCGGTAGCCTGTAAGCACACCGATAATGTACTGAACAGTTCGACATGTCGGATTTATCGAGGTATCGTAAACGCAATCCTTAGAATCACTTTTTAAAACTTGCGTTACGGTCTTTGGATAGCAGAAATGGTACCACACTCAGCGATGCACGCCTGCCATCTAGACCACTTGGCCGACTGGCCCATGTAGCGTACCCTGGTATAAGCCTACATTGGGTGATGGCGGCTGGTTGGCGCCGGGGGCGAGGCTTACCCTGATCTCGCGGAACTTGACCGAAATACCGATGGGCATCTCTCGGCACAGCTCGCACTGCCACTCGAATAGTCGGTGTGGGTTACAGCCGCGGGAGTCAAACTGCAACAGAATGCGGCGCCCGTGCCGTTACCTTCGGACGGCTCTCAAAGCTCCATGGCTTCTTCTGATGTGACTACAGACGGGCAGAAATCACAACGTGCAGGAACCATGGAACGCCGCTGGCTAGCCCCGCCCAGCTGTACTGACACCTCATGAACCAAAGGCCACGGAAACTTGCCCTGATGTCCTAAACTAGCTGTATTACCGCTTAAGGAGCTACTACTGAACCTTTCTGACACCTTTTAAACGGGCTAAATGTCTACATTCTTTAAACGCGCGTTCGAGTACGGTGCAGGTTAATCTGACCTGCCGAGGGTTTTTACAAAATAATTTTTGAACGACTCTGCGTGGTCGTACCAAACTTTGCAAAGCTGTGGGCAGCTAAATAGCGGATCTTTTGGCATACCAAATAAGATAACTTTGTAAGGTCGCTGACCTATGGCAGGTCAAAGCAAGACCGTGACTATCAGCAAAGGCAATGTCTAGGAGTGGTTCAATCTGGTGCCACAACGGAGAGTTCGACGAGGCCGTACACGAGATAGTTTCTTAGGCAATAACATAATTTCATTTAGGAATAAAGCAAATTCCATTGATCTAGGGTCAGGCGCAAATAACAGACTAAGGTAAAAACCAACCTAACTTATTGGTAGGCGCTAAGCATTAGTTGTCAACAGCTCTCGTCCTGATTTCGAATTTCTCGATAAAAAGAACAGCAATCTGCATATTCCACGGGCTTCCCAAAAGTCAGGATAGGTCACTGGTATGAGAGACCCAAATCAGCCCTTTGCTTTTAGGCACATACAGCCTAGCGTAATTCTCACGCTTATTCGAATTTAAAAATGAAAAAAACATCGTAGTCTCTGGGCTACATCTTCCTAAGATTAAACACGGTACATGGCCTAAAGTGAACACCAGCCACCTTTTGCCTATAACAAATATCTGGGTTCAAGGTGGTTGCATGAAGAGGTCTGGGAGCACTTCGGACACCAATCTTGATTTTGGCCTTGTTGGACCTTAGTTGATCTGGAGGACATAACCTATGGATCTCAGATCATGACACAAATGAATTCGCATACAGACCAGCTCGTCCTAAAATTTGGTGTTTCTAGCTCTTAGTTTTTGAGGTATCAGTGGGTCAAATTGTCCCACTCCCATCCGAGTGAAGAGTATTGAACCAGTATTGTTCCAGAGAGTGTTCCACATTTGTATGGAATTTCTAGCTGAAATAGTCAATTTAAAGATTCGGTGCAGTTCACAGCCATGCCCTTCTAAAAAGAAATGTTCCACATTTTAATAAATTGAAGCTAACACCCGACATGACCTTAGCCCACTTATACCTATTGGCATACTTTCAAAAGGAAAAGGCTGCTCTAGACAACATAATTTCTCCTTTGAGTACATAGGGTTAACACTTCATTGTTTTATTGTGTCATTGTACCTTGCACAACATTAATTAAGAGTCAACTGACGGCCGATACATCTGAAAATCGTGTCCATGAAGGCCAGAAATGAACGACTCAAGAATTTTATATCTATTGGCCTTGATCGCCGATGGCCAATGGGATGACAAGATTATAATGACGCTATTATGACGTCATGGATGCCTGGGCGACCATGAAACAGTCAACACATTGTTGCGGAAACCAGTGGGATTTCGGTCTTAAGGACAGCGCTGTGAACTGCACCGAATGTTCGTCCAGACGCTATGCCGTGCAGCGTAAGACCTGTAATAAAAAACGTAAGAACCACGTCATAACCGAGTATGTGAATGCAAGTAAACATGTTAGTCACGGATAAATATGCAAGAGCACTAGGAGCAAAGAATCAGAACACGAGTACATAACGATGTTTGACTCAACAAACACTCCCACCCATGCTGCTATCTCTCGACGGGTTTGAAGCACTTCAAGTGGCAATTTCGCGCGGCTAGTTTGGCAGTACCTAAACGTCACACAACCGTTGTGTAACGCAATCAAGCAATGACATATTGCGGAGAGTATTTACTAAACAGAGAAAAGCTGTGGTATACAGCAGTCTTTTCCATTTCAAAGCACACCAATAGTTATCAGTGAGTATCTTTCATCACATCTGATCCTTGTTTCGATATCTTCAGATGTCGAGCGTTCCCTTTAACGGTCCGGGAACGAGAACCTCTCCTAAAACATTAAGATCACGTAAGTTTTACGTTCACGAGACAGTATTAATAACCCTTACTATTCTTCTGTTTATTCTACGAGGAATACAGCTATTAATACCGTCTGACTTAACCGTTAAGACTTAAAAACTGCTGTTAAAAACTGCTCTCATTACGAAATAAACAAACAATACGGAAAGGCCAATGGAAGACCAACGGTTACAGCTATTCTGCAAGGCAGCATTTCGCGGCGTTTCGTACCTTAATCGTTCGTATTTCACTATCATAGTTTTCGTTCATACCAGTGTACACTTATAATGTATGCTCGATCTCACCTCGCCGGGCAGCAACAGCTCCTCGTCCAGTCGGTGTGTGACCACGTGGCTACAGTAGGCGTGTGGCGTCGAGTAGCGCGTGCGGCAAAGTGGGCAGCTCAACTTCCGCTGCATCTGGTGCTGCTTGACCACGTGGTTCTTGAGATCGGCAGGGTGCACCGCGATGAAGCCGCAGAAGCCACACGTGTCTCGTAGGCCGGCGTGCACGTGGCCGAGCAGGTGCGCGCGCTCAACGTGCTCATTGCACTGACGGCAGTAGTGCCACTCGACGAACTCGCCCTGGTTGTCGACGCGCAGCTGGTCCGCCTGCTGCAGCAGAGAGCGCAGCAGCGACTGGCCGATGCCGGCGTCGCGGCAGGCGTCGGCGTCTAGCGGCGCGGGCGCCACGCCTATCGCCTCCTGGCGCAGCCGCTCGAACAGCTCCTGGTATTGTGGCAGCCGCAGCACCTCGTACGAAAGCGGCGTGTTGTCCAGCTGGTAGAGGGAGCCGCGGCCCGGCTCCGGGTCGCCGCCGCCGCCCGCCTGGCCCGACTCGGTCAGCAGGCTTTCCACCAGTTCGTCCGGCAGGTCCTCCAGCGTGAGACGGCAGATGGCCTCCAGCCGCTGCTCGAGAGGGGCGCCGGCGGCCGGCTCAGCGGGTGGTGCGCGTCCGGCCGCCGGCCGGCGTGGCTCCAGGCCCGCCTCGCGCTCCAGCGAGAAGATGTGTAGCTCGTCTAGGTCGCAGCGCTGCCGGCCGAGCATCGGAGTTTTTCGGTCTGGACTTTCAACAAGTATGCATTGCCATCACAACATGGCTCACAGTCTGATCATGAAAGAATAAAAAAGAAAATGTTTCATTGACAAATATACCAATTTCAGCACCACACCTTGCTAGAGTCCAGCAATAAATCAAAACAATCAGATCACTGGGGCTGCAAGACTCAAAATATGATCTACCAAGTGCAGAGAACAATATTTTGTCCTCACCTTTGCAACATCTACAACATATCTGGCATGCCGGACCTCTGCAGGAGTCCTCTGATCACAGAGCATCAGCTGATGGTGCATCAGCAGTGTTGGAGTTGCCAGGGTGATGCCACAGCGGGGGCAGGTATGCCTGCCAAACAAGTATTGAGCAACATTAACTAATGATACTGATCTCCAGATCAAGCCCACTATTTCTTGGATATTGCTAATTGGTGTGGAATTAATGACTTCCATTTTAAAGGAGCATCAGATGTAAAATCATCTGACAACAGTATCAAACATAGATGAAAATAATTCATGAGGAATTTGATTTCATACTCCTGCAACTATTCAATGCTAATCATGCACTCAACTTGGTATGCTGAGCTATGCAACTGATGGTGCATAGCAAGCCAGGGATGGTCATTAAAAGGAAAATCATAGTAATTCTTAAGTACCTAACCATTGAATCTCTGGTTAAAAATTGCTAATCCATGGGGAACCTGCCCTGTGCTTGCACCACAGGATTGCACCATGGTCTTATCTTCATGCTCAGTAGATGATATTCTTCCCAGGGTCAAAACCATACAATACTCTTACTGTGCCAGCCAACATTACAAATACCAAGAGTTTAAATGCCCTGAACGAGGTGACTCTGGCAATCCTGCAACAAAAGCATTCCTGCTGGCCCTGATTACTATGTGACCTTCGTGTAATGAGCATTGAGCTTGTATATGCTGAGCTTAGGCCCTAGCCAGATTGCACTGTGTCTCCTATCTTTAGTGATTTTCTTTGACTGAAATTTCCTTGAAACATTGCCTGTATGTCCCAACATCACTGGAAAAAATTGCATCAAACAAATAAGTACTTTTATTTACATATCACATACATCAAAAGCTTTGAAACATGGCATTGTTGCAGCAGACGAGCTGGGTATGGCATGCAATTTTTGTAAGCTGGGGACGCTGGTTCTGTAGGTAAAATATCCCCAAAATAACAACTACACAAGATAACATCAGGCATAGTGCCTTGTTGGCCTCAAAGCAACAACACCTCATCCTCAATGCATATCTAAAATTGTGAATACTTCAGCATGAAATCACGTACCATTCAGTTGATTTCTGGATGACTGAAAGTACAATCACATACCCTTCAGTTGATTTCTGGATGACTGAAAGTATTTCTACTTCGTCCATAGAAGTCATCGCAGCCTAAGGGTGTATTTGCAGCGCACTTAGATGTTCTACGTGGCGTCACGTTGAGTCTTTGACGTGCGTGTTCGCGTGCTCTCCACGTCACTTGCTTTTCACGCATCAAAAACAAGAAGTTCCATTCATACGGCCATGTTGAGAGCTGGATGAGAAGCCAGTAAACGACTTTTGTTCCAGAGAATGCTGGTGCCAAGGCCCTGCCGGCTGCGCGTAAGCAGCCTCCAAAGCACAGGGTGGTTCAAGCAATGTATAAATGTATAACAGGCGAAACCGTTCCAACAACGCACTTCTCAGCAAAGATCGTTATTTGACGTCACCGGAGATGCACCTTTAACGCTAAGACGGCCGCACGCGCGATAAGAACATGATAAATCGCATGTGTTACGACACGTTTGGTGGATGGAATGATTCGCAAGTCAAAGTAAATATGAATGAATGAGATAACTTGGCAGTTATGTGTGATTTTGGAGGCACTTCAAGAGCCAAGGCGGCGATAAAGGATCCAGGAGGGAAGCTATTCGAGGACGAGCCCCCGCGTTTTACGCCAAAAAAGTGCTTGGCGTAAGGACTTGTCTGTGACTTCGGAAGCACCAGCTGGACTCAAAACTGCACCCTGGGATTACCAGTTTATTTTGAGCATTACAACTGCCGCCTTGCGAGATACCTATCCCAAGCAAATCCATGGAACTTTTCAGCCCCAGTTGGCATTTGAATTGGGTTTCGGTTTGGCAGATCACCCGACGGAAAAGAGTGGTCGCATTTATTTAGCCTATGACGGTGTATCGGAGCGAGTGCGGGCGTATCTCCCCAATTCCTGGCTGAAATGTATTTGAAGAACAGTCGGGTATAGCAGTGCAAGAAGCCTATAAAGTGCCCCGAAGCTCCTCGGCCGGGGCTCCCGACCCGGACCTTATCAGGCACATTCGCGCGGCTCCATCTAACGGGGGCAGTCAAGTCAATGCACATTGGAGCTTAGCCATTCACCGGAGTTAGGCTCTAACGGTTGCTAGCGTCATGATGCAAGGGGTACCGCTGGTTTACCCTCCCTTTGCTTGACAAATACTGGATAAGACTTGCTCGATTATTAACGAAATGCAGCCTAAGGGCGCATCATAACCCGCGTCCAAAGCCTTTTGGATACTCACAATGAATGCAGTTGATCAACTGAAAACGCTTTTCCTCGCTTGACAGCAGGATTAAGTTATAAGACGGTCGACCGTGCAGTGTTATCTCGCTAACGCAGGAACAGGATCAGATGCACTCCAGTGAGCCCATGGTCTCCACCGTCGGCTTCAGCACCCGGAGTGTCGCATGGATGATGTCAGCATCCAGCTGGAACTTGGAAGCCACGTATCCACCTTGAAAGCGTGCTGTTTGAAGGCAGGGTATGTTCATGACATGCTGGGCGAATGCATAGGTCTTTTGGTAGATGGAGTGTAGTGCAACAGTATTGGCGACATCAAATCCCTCCATCGACCCTTGGCCAGTCCATGCTGGCTGAGTTGCTAAGTTGAGCGACTGAGTTGCTGCCGGCTGAAGACGCCCTTGGTCTGGACATGCTGCAGGTCCCGAATATTCCACAGGAGCTGGCACACCTGGCGCAATGAGCAAGCGACCCCCGAGACCGGTTCAGAGGGTTAGTTCGGTGCTTGGCATGCGACTTCATCCGCCAGAAGTCAGATGGGCATGCTCGCGTCCTGGCGGTAAATTCAGGTCTGATGTTGACAAAAGCTCCAACAGTGAAAAACGCACAGCGCGTGATGTCTGGCTGATAGGGAACTTAACAGTGCGCGGCTTTTTCCACTCGCCATATTTACTACTCGTCAGATACTCAGCACATGCACCAGAGGCGTACCCAAGCGTTCTCCCTGGCACTGCGGCTCATCCAGACACATTATTCCCTTTTGAACCAAACTTGCACAGGTTCAGACTGAATGCTCAAACGTGAGTATGAGAGGCCCGCACTGTCCCACGGATCCCCAATCGATGCCGTGGCCTTCTGACTGGCGTTAGAGGTCACAGCCCAACGGGCGAGAGGATTTCTTACTGCAACCTACGGAAGTCGTTCTGGCCCCATGACCTCTTCAGCTTTCCAATCGGGTCCTTGATCTTTGTTCCCGAGGGGCTATTGGATCCTGTTTCGACGTCCTCGAACAAAGCCCGTGACGGGCTCGGGGACACTTGTCGACATATGGCCCTGTTGTGCCTATGGGCACTAACGCTTGGGCGCGTATCTTAGCACAAAGGTTTATTCGGCAGTCACTGGAGCAGCGAGCGGCCCGACCGCCGCATGCGCGTTTCGCGGCGTGAGAGAGGGAGCGGACGTTTGCACAGCTTATCTGTTGGCGCTGACGAAAGGCATAGAAGACATTGTGAAACAATTCGCCAAATAAAAGGTCTTCACGAGTTGGAACTATTTCTGTCGGCGTGAAGAAATAAGTCAAAAGATAGGAAATGATTGTAGGTACAGCTGGCAGAGTTAACGTGACAAATTAAAAGTGAAGCTTGATACTGCATAGGGCACGGGCCATCTAGCGGATGGGGCGGCAGGCGCATTTTCAGTAGCGCCGCCTACAGGTGACGCCGTCTACAGCCCATTGTTGGCACGGTGGACTCATGGCCGACACTGGGGTCCAGTCATTGTTTCAGACACCCAGACCGATGCAATCATCGGCTCAGGAATTATACTTCCTTAGAAAATGAGATCCCAGTTCTCAGACCGACACGTAGCCAACCGTTTTGGGTTACAATGTATCAGGGGTCCTCAAACGGCATAAGACGCCCCCCTCTCTAATATTCCAGTCACAGTCCTACGGGCCGTGATCCTTTGTGTGACGTACAGGCCCGTCAGGCCCTTATGCCCGCCAATCAGGTTCTTGATTGTCGCTTTCGGCGAGCCTCCGGGCCCGTCTTGGGGCCTCATTGAACACTGCTATTGGTTGACTCGGGACCCCTGCCAACACAGGACCCTGTGGTAGGCACCGTAGGCCCCTGATAGACGCAGGGGGCCCCAGCTTGGTCGCTGTTCGTTCTAAAGTTGGCCCTCATGCCAATACCAACACGGCGTCGACTGTACGGCACTGGTGGTGCCAGACTCAGATGTCAGTGCCAGTGCCAGTGCTAGTGCCAGTGCCAGTGCCAGTGCTAGTGCCAGCGCCAGACTCAGTGTCAGACCCTTATCAATTCAGGGGTCCCCGAACAGCGCAAAGGATCCGCTGACTGTCATCTGTGGGCCCGTCCCCGCAGGTCGGGCCCCTGAAGAAGACTCCTTAGCCCTTCGTGCTCTTAGGCCCTCCGCTCGGGCCCTTGATTGTTGATCCGCCGGGTACTCCTGGACCCTTGGAAGTCGGAATGTAAGAAAGGGAGAGGGCTTGTTCCCCTTGTACCCTCTCCCCTCTGCATGCGCCACCGGTGCTGCCTTTGGTTTAATTTATACATGGCATGATATTTCATGCATACAAAGAATAGAAAAACACATAGAATGATAGAGAAATGTGGTCCCACTAGGCTGCATGCAGTCCTAATAAAACTGTACCGAAAATGTCGCCGCCGAGATGTGGTAGCTGCTTGATGGTCCGAATTTAGCGCCACAGCTCCGAAAGCAAGCATGGACAGTCGCGCGCCGGTACGTCCCGTAATGTCTTGCTTGTGCCGTATTGTGTGCGTGGTGGTGGGTAAGGGTGTAGGCGTCCCCCCCCCCTCCCGTACTGTTATTTAGGCCCTCGGCTTGGGTGTTGAAGATTGGAAGAGGGGGCTAAATGATAGATAGCATTGTATCAAAAACTTTTCCGAGCGTATACTTTGATGCAAGAAGTGTAAAGAGGATGTATTGTTTCATGGTCTGTAGACCACGCCAAGTCATTCTAATGCAAACGAGCCATCATTCAGTAATTTTTCACATCGAAATGCCTATTGAACATTTTCTGTTGCATTTGTTGTAAATTTGGCATGTACATCAGGCTACTTTTGCACAGTTTGTGTGGTGGCATTTTGCTATCATTTCTCATAGCACTGCTTTCAAGCAGTGTCAGTAGTCCCCAGGAGAGACAGTTGCTTGACTGCCATCTCAACAGACACTCATGACTTGGTTTAAACAAGGTGCCACTTCTGGTATTGTCAGTGATATTTATCAGTATGGCTGGGTCATCACCCCTGTAGATTAGCACTTATACATTGCTTTTTCAGATGTGGATGTTTGAGAAGATATTTGGGACTATATCTTAATGTCATTACATGTGCCAAATGCAGGGTCAGAATTTTTAAAATAAATTTGTGTGGCATTTATGTCTTGGAAATGTTTGCTTTAAAACAATGATGCTACACCATGCCCATATTATATGCATATTGTATTGTCAACAAGTATTATGTAATCTGACCATTGGTGCATTTTGAACTATATACAGACATGATACTATGCAACAAACATTTTCCAGCGTGAACATGTTACAGATATCTGTCAGTGTTACCAACAGACAACAGCACCTCTTGTGGTCAGGGTGTACTTTCCTACCTCATGTTACAAAAGAGCATTGTACATCAATCATTGTTTTTAAGGCAGAACATATCATAATTAATCATAAAACAGGTCATCTTTACTCTTACCTTGGAACTTAACTAATTACAATACCGAACATCCGACCTCCGCAGGGCTGTTTCGTCAACAATTATGGTTTTTCCCTGTCCCCCGACTTTGACATGTTTGGGCCACGCATTAGATCCTTTGACATCACGTCTCGATAGAACTGAAGCCAGTTCACTACCATCTTTTTACTGGGAGTGGTGCTGATTAACTTCTTCATGGCACTTTCATTTACCTCGACCACAACGTACACGTAGGCCATCTCTAGTATGACCAACGGTCTGAGGTGTGAACCAGCGAAAAAGCTGCCGTCTACAACACGCTTGATTTTTGGGCACTTGGTACAGCACCAGGCCTTGCCAAACACTCTGTCTGTACCAAACTCTCCTTCCACCATGCGCCTTCTTGCACAGCACATTTTTGCTACTTTTCTTATGAGACCGTTTTCGCGGAGAAGTCTCAAAAGGTCATCTGGGTGCTCAGTCTCAAAATCCAGTTTTAATAAGTCCCTAAATGGTTCCACTTTGTGTAACTCCATCTTCAGCTCTCGTGCAATATCGCTCGACTGCGTGGATATGCAGTAAATATATCTCATTGCATTATTATTGTTACCTTGGCCCCCGCATATTTTTATGGTTCTTGATAAGCAGAAATGTCGTCATCACGCACCAATAGCGTGGCAGTCACGCTGGGGGTCGAGGTTGCCGCGTGTTTGCGGCGCTCGGGAGCTCGCCATCGTAATTATAAAACAAATTGAAGGTAAGAGCATGAATCTACCTGTTTTGCAATTATTTAGGATATGTCCTGCCTTAAACACGACGAATGGTGTACAATGATTTTTTCTAATGTTAGGTAGGAAAGTACACCTACACCCCTCATGTTATTTGGATGACTGGGCCTCTGCTGGCATTCAATGTTTGCAAGGTACCTGACATCTGATATATTATGCATTATATTCTAGGTGATTTCACAATATTCAAATGACAATTAATGGTAGTGCAAGGCAAATGAAGATGAAGAAAAAGAAGGACTCTGTGCATGCAGATAATGGCACGAAGCAAGAGCAGGTCAAGAAAAGAAAGGGTCATGTCCATGCTAAAACCAGTGAAATTCCTGGTAATGTCACTGTTGAGAAAGTAAAAAATACTAAGGCTATTGGTAAGTTCTACAATTTTACATGCTACAATTCATTACATATGGACCATGATTTGATGTGGATGGAATACTTGTCTGGACTGTTATCCTTGTCTGATTGGTAGAAGGTACATATTACCCCAGTCAATTGGCTCACTGGGTGCTGTTTGGTGTTATGGAGTTCCTAAAATAACTCAATGTTTGACTTCATTGGACTTTTAACCATGCATGCATTGTAAACTGAATTGGCTGTTGAGCTTATAATCAGAATACCTGGGTTTAAATTCCAGCAATTGTAGGGAGAGTTTGGCTGTGATGCATATTTGGCTGAAAGCCAAACATCATCCAGTCCTAGGATTTCATAATGCCTGATGACTGCTGGAGAGTTCACTTTCCATCATGCTGTCTACTTGCTGTTATTTAAAGAACTCCAGGCCACTGTGATAGTCTGAACAGTTATTCCAGATGTGATATCCATGCCTTGTCTCAACTTTTCCTTAGCACCATAAGATAACATTTGTTAAAATTGTTTGACACTAACTGCAAGTTGAAATTCACCCTATCATACAAATTGCTGTCCATTTTCTGTGTGGTTTATTGGTCCTGTGCTGCAATGCTGTGGTGATGAGTGATCTCATGATGACTGATCTGGAGTGGCCACCCCAGATGTGGTGTTTGCACAACACTACCCTCTGCAGCAGGTTGAGGAACAGCCTGCCGTATGCTCAAATTTTATGTTATGTAAGCAGATACAAAATGGCCAAAGAAACGGAAACGCAATGAAGACTCTTCTGAACAGCAGCGCCCAGCTAAAATTCAACACCAAGATGGTGCACCGAACTGGCGGCAGGTCCGGGCCGACGCCGCTGAGATCAAGGATCGCAGAAAGGCACACAACAAAATGTACGAAGTCGGAAAACACATGAAGAAACTTTGGGAAGAGGTAGGCAGTATTGGTTGGTGTGTTACTGGCTGTTGTAATTTGAATAGTTTATGAGTAGTGTTTGAAGGAAATATATCATATGAAGTGGAGTGCTGTTGAGTGTATCTGATTCAAACCATCGGTTTCTGTGTACAAACGCGGACCGTCTCTGACTCGCCCTGTCTCACCGTCGTGCCGTGCTGCCTCCGCGCGGGCGTCTGCTCAGCTGACGGCCGCGCCTCCCTCCGACAGGTACGCGTAGACAAGTGTCCGGAGGAGCGTCGGCGCCAGCTGCTGCCCGAGCTGGTGAACATGGTGCGCGGCCGCGTGCCGCAGATGGTGCGTGCTCATGACCGGGCGCGCGTCTGCGAGACCCTGTTCGAGCTGGGCGGACCCGAGACACGCGCAGTGCTGTTTGACGAGGTGCGGCAGCAGCTGGTCGAGCTGAGTCGTGACAAGTACGCGCGCCACTTCGTGCTCAAGATTCTCTCGTACGGCAGCGCCGAGCAGAAGCAGGCGGTGGGCGAAGGGTTTCGTGGCCGCGTCCCGGCGCTCATGGGCCACAAGGTGGGTGTGGGCTGGTGACGCGCCGCACGTGCCCATTGGTGGCACGCGACGGCGGCCAACCGGCCCAATGGCTCTCGGACACGAATGGATTAGACATCGCTTGAAGAGTCACCGGCTCTGCAGCATCTGGCTGTCATTCTTTGGTGTGTGGTCCTACTGGGCAAGATTTTGTCATTTCACGACTGGCGCTTTGCATTGGACGTCAAACTTACTGCCACGCGGCGCTGGTAGGCAGAGTGTTCGAGATGCCTACTAAATGGCCAAGCTTGCATATGCACGTAGCCTTCTTCCTGCAGATAGTTGTCATGCCGCAGGCTCTTCGTACTGTATGCGTTGGTTCACCACGTGGCTTTGGCTCCAGCTCGGGCATCCAGCCCAGTGTGTAGTGGTGGGCGCGCGCCTGCGAGCGGGTCCCGGCGCGTCACCTCTGGAGCGCTGCTATTCTGTCAGCGGTGCCGGTGCCGGCCGTGACCCCGGCTTCCGTGCCGCAGTTTGCCAGCGAGGTTGGTGAGGCGTACTTTCGGGACTGCGCGCCACCCGAGGCGCAGCAGCGCATGCTGATGGAGTTCTACGGCACCGAGTTCCTGATTATGGGCAGCGAGCCGCGAGATATGGCTCAGCTGATCGCCGAGCACCCGGAGAAGCGGGTCATCTACCTGACCAACACGCGCAGCCAGCTGCAGGCCCTACTGGACAAGTAAGCCGACTCGACAGTGTTAAGGTGGGATCATCAGCAGACACGGGTCTCTGCTGGACAAAGCCGCGCTGCAGTTCCGCTGGAGAAGTGAGCTGGTTCTGCTGGATGGAGAGGGAGGGGAGGCACTTGGAGGAGAGGTGATGTACTTACCTGATAATCGCGCAGAGCCAGCTGTGGTCCCAGCTGGCATCACATCCATCCTCCATGGCGGCATGGATATAATAAACCTGGCCCTCCTGAGTTTCGTAACGATAGGTTGGGTGTATTGGAGACTGCCGCCGGCACATGTGTGCATAGCCGACGCTGCCGGTCAGCTTGGTCGGCTGGCGTGGCGTTAGTTCAGTATTTACCGATCGGTGGCCGGCACGCCGTGAGTTCAGTGTACACCGATCGGTGGCCGATGTGGCGTGAGTTCAGTGTGCACCGACCTGTGTCCGGCATGGCGTGAGTTCAGTGTGCACCGACCTGTGACCGACGTGATGTGAGTTCAGCGTACACCGACCTGTGGCCGGCATGATTTGAGTTCAGCGTGCACCGACCTGTGACCGGCGTGGTGTGAGTTCAGTGTACACCGACCTGTGACCGGCGTGGTGTGAGTTCAGTGTACACCGACCTGTGACCGGCATGGTGTGAGTTCAGTGTACACTGACCTGTGTCCGGCATGGCGTGAGTTCAGTGTGCACCGACCTGTGACCGGCATGATGTGAGTTCAATGTACACCGACCTGTGGCCGGCATGGCGTGAGTTCAGTGTGCACCGACCTGTGTCCGGCATGGCGTGAGTTCAGTGTGCACCGACCTGTGTCCGGCATGGCGTGAGTTCAGTGTGCACCGACCTGTGTCCGGCATGGCGTGAGTTCAGTGTGCACCGACCTGTGTCCGGCATGGCGTGAGTTCAGTGTGCACCGACCTGTGACCGGCATGGTGTGAGTTCAATGTACACCGACCTGTGGCCGGCATGGTGTGAGTTCAGTGTGCACCGACCTGTGACCGGCGTGATGTGAGTTCAGCGTACAACGACCTGTGGCCAGCATGATGTGAGTTCAGTGTGCACTGACCTGTGACCGGCGTAGTGTGAGTTCAGTGTACACCGACCTGTGACCGGCATGGTGTGAGTTCAGTGTACACCGACCTGTGATCGGCATGTTGTGAGTTCAGTGTACACTGACCTGTGTCCGGCATGGTGTGAGTTCATTGTGCACCGATCGCTGGCCGGCATGATGTGAGTTCAGCGTGCACCGACCTGTGACCGGCGTGGTGTGAGTTCAGTGTGCACCGATCGCTGGCCGGCATGGTGTGAGTTCAGTGTACACCGACCTGTGACCGGCGTGGTGTGAGTTCAGTGTGCACCGATCGCTGGCCGGCATGGTGTGAGTTCAGTGTGCACCGACCTGTGACCGGCGTGGAGTGAGTTCAGTGTACACTGATCTGTGGCCGGCATGGTGTGAGTTCAGTGTGCACCGACCTGTGACCGGCGTGGTGTGAGTTCAGTGTACGCCGACCTGTGGCCGGCATGGTGTGAGTTCAGTGTGCACCGACCTGTGATCGGCGTGGTGTGAGTTCAGTGTGCACCGACCTGTGACCGGCGTGGTGTGAGTTCAGTGTACACCGACCTGTGACCGGCGTGGTGTGAGTTCAGTGTGCACTGACCTGTGTCCGGCATGGTGTGAGTGCAGTGTGCACCGATCGCTGGCCGGCATGGCGTGAGTTCAGTGTACACCGGTCGGTGGCTGGCATGGCTTGAGTTCAGTGTACACCGATCGGTGGCCGGCATGGTGTGAGTTCAGTGTACATCGATCTGTGGCTGGCATGGTGTGAGTTCAATGTGCACCGATCTGTGGCTGGCATGGCGTGAGTCCAGTGTACACCGATCTGTGGCTGGTATGGCGTGAGTCCAGTGTACACCGATCGGTGGCCGGCGTGGTGTGAGTTCGGTGTACACCGGTCGGTGGCCGGCGTGGTGTGAGTTCGGTGTACACCGATCGGTGGCCGGCGTGGTGTGAGTTCGGTGTACACCGGTCGGTGACTGGCGTGGTGTGAGTTCGGTGTACACCGGTCGGTGACTGGCGTGGTGTGAGTTCGGTGTACACCGGTCGGTGACTGGCGTGGTGTGAGTTCGGTGTACACCGGTCGGTGACTGGCGTGGTGTGAATTCGGTGTACACCGGTCGGTGACTGGCGTGGTGTGAGTTCGGTGTACACCGGTCGGTGACTGGCGTGGTGTGAGTTCGGTGTACACCGGTCGGTGACTGGCGTGGTGTGAGTTCGGTGTACACCGGTCGGTGACTGGCGTGGTGTGAGTTCGGTGTACACCGGTCGGTGACTGGCGTGGTGTGAGTTCGGTGTACACCGGTCGGTGACTGGCGTGGTGTGAGTTCGGTGTACACCGGTCGGTGGCCGACGCCTGACCTCCCCGGTGTGGACGTCGCCAGGCAGCTGCTGACCGGCACGCTGGCGCACCGGCTGCTGCGCGAGTACCTCAGCCTCTGTGCCGAGGCCGACCGCGCCGACGTGGTCGAGTCACTGCGCGAGGCAGTCGTCACCATGCTACACACTAAGGACGGTGCTCGCGTCGGCCTCATGTGTCTCTGGTGGGGCACCGCCAAGGTGAGCAGCCCGATGTGATGTGGGACGTGTAGCGCGGCCGTTGAGCGCACAGCGAGCGCCGGAGCCGCGTGACGAATCTAGTAGTGTTTGCATTCCCATGATTTCGACGCTGGACCTCCAATGCCGAAGCGTGTCTCTCACATGCCGTGTTTGGGAAGGCGCCTGGTCGCTCCAGAAGCGGGCGGTTCGTCTGTGACGGCTCCGCCGCAGGCGCCGGGCTCACCCGGTCACGCTCCGGTCCCGCGGCTTCTGATCCGCCCCAGGTCAGGGTCGGCGGCTCAGAGCCCCGCCGCCCCGGCCGGCCTTCAGCGTGCCTGTCGTGCTGGCAGGACCGCAAGGCCATCGTCAAGTCGCTAAAGACGTACGCACAGAAGGCGTGTACGGATGAGCACGGCTTCCTGGTTATGCTAGCGCTATTTGACGTGGTGGACGACACCCGGCTGGTCCGCAAGGTACGTTCTGACGGGCGTCTGACCTGACCCGCGCCTGACCTGAGCGGCGCTGCCCTGATCCGCGACCAACCGGATGGACGAGACGTAGCGGGACGTCACTGACCTCGGCTACCTGGCCGTGGCGGACTGTGACTGACCTCCGCCACACGGCTGGGCGCTGCCGGCGGCGGTGTCAGCTGTGTACACTCGTCACACCGCCTGCGTGTCGGTCGGTGGACTGCCTGTGTGATGTTGGGGTAGTTCTGCGACGGATGAGTTGCAGGATTATTCCCGGTGCTGGTGGCTGGGCTGGGGCTGCGCGGGCTGCCCACTTCTAACGACCCATACAGCTATAGGCCGTCTGCGAAGTGGGGTGACAGCTGGCGGATCACACTAGTCTGGTAGCTCCGCGGCTGCTGACGCTGATGCGCGTCCTGCCGTGCAGGCACTGCTGGACGAGATGATGACAAACATAGTGGACATCGTGGCCAGCGAGCACGGCCGCAAGGTGGTGCACTACCTGTTATCGCCACGCAGCACGGTCTACTTCCACCCACAGCTGATCGCCACGCTAGCCGAGGGCGACCAGAACAGTACCAGGTGAGCGGCGGTGGCCGGCCCGCGGCGCTGGCGCTCTGGCCCGCGTCCGCGCCGTCACCGAGAGGCATTGACCAATTGCCGTGACAGTGCGATGCGTCCTTCGTGTACATTGTCGGTGTGTGTGTGGGGGGGGGGGGGGGGGGGTAGGGGGCGCATGCGCTCAAGGCACTTCATGACACTGTCACATGTGACCGAACCACTATACGGTGTTGGAGCTGGAATTGTGCGAGGTATGTCAGGTTTGTCTGGTATGCAGTCCCCAGCAAGTGATGAGCAAGACACTGCTGCTGGGTGTGTGTGCCCGTAGTTGAACGTCCCTTGTCGGGTTTTCCAGTAAGAAGGATCCGGAGGTGCGGCGTCGGGAGCTGCTGGAGGGCGTCAGCGAACCGCTCCTGAAGACGGCCAGCATCCACTGTCTAGAGTGGATGGCCGACAGCAACATGTGCATCCTGATGACACACATCCTCACCAAGTGCACAGGTGACGAGGCCAGCGGGCGGTGGGCGCCCGCCATACCCGGCAGGCTTGGCCAGCCCGCATTCTTTGGCGGGACGCGAAGTACCGTCACGCCGTACTGCCTGCTTCTTTTGCTGTGGTTCGAATCACGGCCAGGCCATAAGTCAGCTGTTGTAGCCTTTAGCCTGTACCCCTGTGCCCCATGTACCCAGTGCGGTGACGTGAATTGTCGCGGCATCGTCCCCACCGCCGAACAGTTCCCACAGTTCTACGCCAATCTCAGCACCTGGCATCAGCTCAAGTGGCGTGGGTCCCAGGTCTTGATGTGGGCCCCAGTCTCATGACATCAGCCTGGATTTCCTGGTGTCATTCCGAGTCCCCTGGTGTCAGTTCCGGCCGCCTTACGCCAGTGACAGCATCTTGGCGTCAGCCCCATTCTTGTGGTGTCGTCTCAGCCCCAGTCCCCTCACACCAGTCCCAGTCCCGTGAGCTCAGTCCCAGTCCCTTGGTGTCAATCCCAGCTCTGACAGTTGGTGCACTCTCCGCAGCCGACTCACTGAAGCTGCCACTGATGCAGCTGGCCCGCCGGCTGGCTGAGCCGGTCACCTCCACCGCCGACGGCCACCTGGTCAACAACTCCGCCGCGTACATGCAGCTCAAGAAGCTGATCCAGGCGGACCGGCAACGCAGTGTCGCCAATGCGTCCGGTGAGCGTCGGCCCCCGTCCCGTCCCGTCCCGTCCCGTCCCGTCCCGTCCCGTCCCGTCCCGTCCCGTCCCGTCCCGTCCCGTCCCGTCCCGTCCCGTCCCGTCCCGTCCCGTCCCGTCCCGTCCCGTCCCGTCCCGTCCCGTCCCGCTCGCGTGCATCTCTGTCGCGGTCGGGTGGGGTCGGTCACGCGGCGCGCCGTTGTGCGATCGGACGGGTGATGAGGCGAAGTCGGTGGGCGGTGCGCCCGGCTCGGCTGGCCGCGCCCCCGCCCTCGGCTATCGCCGAGCGGCGCTGTACCAGGCGGCGGAGCTGTGCGCCGGATATTTGCTGTGTTTGCGGCAGCCGTCCTGCCGCTGTGGGGCGGGAGCAGCTCGGTGGGTAGTGCACGACGTTACCGCGTCATTCACCTCCTGCCTCGATGCACGGCGAAACAAAGATTTGTGCAGCTGAGCATGTCCGGTTTGGTTTGTGCTCACGATGCCCTCGCCCGGTTTCAGTGCTGTTTTCCACGCTGATCCTTCAGGAATTATCAGCTGACGCGCTGATCTCATGGCTGGCCTCCAACCGAACGGCATTTCTTCTGGTGATGTACGTATGTGTAGCACTACTAGCAGGATCGTGCTTACATCCTGTTTGACGTATCCACTAGACCCCATTGATACTCATGCTTCAGGTTCACCAAGCTGCTTTATTTGTCTGAATACTCCTGCTAGTCATTTTTCCCATGCTACTGCTGTTTTTACATTTGCGTGCTGTCACGTCTTGTAGTGATTTTTGTCCTTGTCTTGAATGGGAAAAGTGATTACCAGTCATGCTTGACTTAACACCGTCTCCGCCAGAATGCTGGAGACCGAGGTGCCGGCGGTGGTGGAGAAGGTTTTAGAAGTGATGCTTCCACACAGCAAAAAACTAAAGCCTGCGTGCAAAGGAGCGGAAATTCTGAAGAAGAAGCTGTCGGCAGCGTCTAAACAGATGAAAACCACCTACTGCGGCGACTGAGGCTGTAAAATCCAGTGACGCAAAGCGGGGAGGGGAGGGGGCGCAGTGACCTGTTGAAGTAGCCGTGCTTGATATGTGTACCTGCCGGTGGTATTTGTTGGTGGCTTGGAATACAGCGTCCTGAAGTTCTTTTGCGGCCAGCGAAGCGAAACCTTTTTCAACACCGTTTACGCAGCATGGCCCATCCTCCCGATGTCCCGCTTCAGAGGCCCCGTTTCACGAATCAGAGGAGCGAGCCATGCAAGTCAACGTAAGAAGTCCGAACGGAGCTCTGATCCGTTCCCAGCGCCGGCAGTTCCCGGCCGGCCCAACGTCAGGGCACGGGATGGTCGTATGCCGGGGGGACAGTGAACGCGACCATTTGGGACAGCCTTTGAACCGGCCGGGCAGCTTAGGCCAGGGTTGGTCAGCTTACGCCAGGGTTGGTCAGCATGGGCCGGGGCCGGTCAGCATGGACCAGGGCTGGTCAGATGCGGCAGGGGCCGGTCAGCTAGGACCAGGGCTGGTCAGATGCGGCTGGGGCCGGTCCGCTAGGACCAGGGCTGGTCAGATGCGAGTGGGACCGGTCAGCTAGGACCAGGGCTGGTCAGATGCGGGTGGGACCGGTCAGCTAGGACCAGGGCTGGTCAGCAGGGGTCGGGGCCGGTCAGCTGGGGCCGGGGCTGGTCAGTAGGGCCGGGGCCACGCAGCTGGTGCTGGGGCCGGTCAGGGCACGTCCAGGACACTTCCGGAGCACTCACCATTCTACGTGAAATATAACAGCACATACCTCCTCCTGGGAGATGGCATGAGACCGATAGGTCAGTACCCTTTGCATTATGTTGTGGGTGAACAGAAACGGCCGGCACCCACCGCCTGGCGAGCGCTGGTCGTCCAAATGCTCGGTCAGGCGGCCTTGTCCGGTACCGGCCCAGGCCGACCAGCGCCGCCTCCCGTCTTATATAAATATTAGCGAAAATCAGCTGGACCCCTACCCTGACTGTTACCAGGTCTGCCCCTGAGAGATGGCTGTGCCGACGCCGACCGAATCGCGCGCCGCTGGACTGCGTCTGTCTGTCTGTGTCAAATGTCCGTCGGCATTTCATCTCACCAGGATCGAGTCACGTGACTCGCTGCCAGTCCGACACATATTGGTGGATGGCGTCCGCCACCCTTGCCCACGTGCGCAAAAACGATGTTGGCCATCGGATGGCCTGTGACAGTTCCGGGAGCTGCACGTTGAAGCGATTGTTCAGCGAACTTCGGATGACTGCGGTGACGTCTCCACCGTGCCGCTGCTATGCCATATTGCCCGCACGCGGCCCCAGTCCTCGAGCACGTGTACCCCAGGCCCCGGACGTCACAGCTAAATTGCACAGGTATTTGATTACGCATTGCAGCTCCCTTATCGAGCGTGCATGCGTGCTAGCAGTTTCTCAGGACAGCACGTCACAAAAGCACACAACAGGCTGAACAGGCTGAAACCAACAGGCAAAACTGACTCACGTAGACTACAAAATAATTTACATGATGACTGGCTCAGACTATTAATTCAAGTAAATACTTGAGTTTTATTATTTAAGCAGATCAAGTGGATGATCGCGGCTTCACAATCCACTGCTCGCTGACTGCTGCTCTAACCAGACATCTTGGCAACACACTGCTTCATGGGGTACACGCTATGCCATCCCGTGTCGTACGTGACCGCGTCAGGAGCGTCGTTAACTTCGTTAGCTTGTTATTAGGGGTGTCGTTGGCTTCGTTAGCTTGCTGTAAGGGTGCCGTTAGCGTGGGAGGGAATAAAGCTCTGGTTCTCCAACATTGAGCGGAAAGCGGGTCGGCTTATCCACTTTCCCCGATTTTTCCCCCGTCCCCAACTTCATAAGGCGTCCAACGTCCATAAGGCGTCCAAGCCATGAAGGGGATCACCTAATGCATCCACATAGGACCTTTAGCCCAAAAACGTTTCTCCAAAGTGAAGCTTGGCCCCTAAGCGGCGAGGATGGCCATTGGCTAGACGGTACCCTATGACCCGATTTACCGAGTTGATAACTCAGCGATTCAGCCAGGCTCCGGGGTAGCAACTTAGCTACGCTAGTGATAATGATGCGTCCGCCTGGTGACCTTACACTAAGTTTGAGATGCTTACGATAATATACAGGCATTTGTATCGTACGTCATTCATCGTGCTATTCGTATTGTATATTGCATGATATTGTTCCATGTGATCAGGTACTGGGTAACATAACGTTGTCCAGCCATAACCTTGTGACGGCGGGGGAACGGATGACGTGTAAACAAACGTACGGCGGGCCGCCACTCGGCATCAGCGAGGGGCGCGTGGTCAGTGCAGGCCGACAACGCGAGGCGTGACGCGGAGCCAGCCGCTCCGGTGCCCTCGGGCCGACGGCGTACTGAGCACGCTTGTGCAGGGTGAGCGCGGCGTGGCGGCGGCGAGGCACCGGCAGTGTAGCGCTGTGCGTGGCGGCGTGCCCCGGAGGGCGGACGGTCGGCACCGACATGAACTTGACCGAGGCCTGGCGCGACTTCCTGGCCGGCTGGGCGGGTGGCTCTCTGGGTATTCTGTGCGGCCACCCGCTCGACACGGTCAAAGTGCGCCAGCAGGCGCTGCTCGTGTCGCCGCTGCAGTGTCTGCGCATCACGCTGCGTCACGAGGGCGCGCGCGGCCTGTTCAAGGGCCTCGCTTTTCCAATGGCATCGGCTGGCGCCGTCAATGCCGTCTTCTTCGGCGTCTACTATAACTGTCTGCGATGGCTGGGCGACGGCGCGGCGTCGGCGTCAGCGCCACTGTTGCACGTTTGGGCCGCGGGAAGCGTGGGCGGAGTGGTGCAGCTGGCGGTGGCAGTGCCGGTGGAGGTGGTAAAGATCCAGCTGCAGACGCGCACCGGCGCCGGCGGCGCTTGGGCGCGCCACTACCAGACCCCGGCTGGCGGTCCACTCGGCTGCCTGGCCGAGCTGTACCGGCGCCGCGGCCCGGCCGGCTGCTACCGCGGCCTCCACGTCCAGCTACTGCGCGACGTGCCGGCCAGTGGCGCCTACTTCGTGCTGTACGAGGCGCTGTCGCGCTGGGCGCGTGAGCGCCGCCTACCGCCGGCGCCCAGTGTGCTGCTGGCCGGCGGCGCGGCAGGCCTGCTCTCCTGGACGCTGATCCTGCCGCTGGATGTGCTCAAAAGCCGCATCCAGGCAGACTGCCCCGACCGGCCACAATTCCGTGGTGTGCTCCACTGCGCGCAAATCACCGTGCTGCGCGACGGCCCGGCGGCGCTGCTGCGCGGCTTCACCGCCATGAGCGTGCGTGGCTTCGTCGTCAACGCCGCCACTTTCTTCGGCTACGAATACGCTATGGTCGGCATCCGGTGGCTCTTGTAGGCGGCCTACAGGAAGCGCGCCCGACGGCCGATGGCCAGGGAGAAAGGGGAAGGGTTCACAGCCGTGAGATCCTCATACTACCGACCTCCAGCTCTCGTGGTTTGTTTGACCAGCGCGATTCGTTGCTATTACGTTGCTATTACGTTTATATTCCGGCTTTGTGACATGCAAACGCGCAGGCTTGCGATGCTACTGTCACGCTTCCGTTAATCGCGTCCATCACGACCGCTAAGAACTGCGCAGGACTTGTTTCAGTGCGGATAAGGCCAATCCACCCTCCAGTAAGACGGAGTGGTGCTGCTTAGAACAACCCTGCCACCTGCTCACGCAAAAAAAAACGCGGATGAGCGCTGGAACAAACCCGTACGCGCGACCAACTTCTCAAAACACATCAGTGGGTACATGTATTTCAGCCATGTGACGTTACAGTTCAACTGTTGTCAGTTACCGACAAAGCGGAAAACAAAACACTGCAGACATTCAGGCCATTGCATCGCCATTCAAAAAGCAAGTTGTAAGGTAGAGGCTAGATCGATTCTAACCACCAAGGTGGTCTGAAGTGAGAGACAATGTCAAAGACAGGCAACAAACAAAACGACAAACATAATGACAGCCTGTCATTACGTCTGAGCATGTGAGTCTCCGTTTTGTACGCGTGACATGCCCCCGGTTACATACTGTTGACTTGACTGGTTATTGGTTGGGAGAACCTCAAAACTCAACACGACTCCCGCCCACAAAAGTCGTTACCAGACGGGCACTCCATGCGAATATAAGTGCGCCGACGTGACACGCAGCAACCCCAGGGCACAGTGGCAGACAGGCTGATATATTTCGCACAACACAGCGTTCTGACCGCCACACAAGCGCGGCGTCGTAGCGAAAGCATGGCGACGCCTCACGGCGTCCGTCTCCGGATGGCTGTCTCGTCACAGTGTCCGTCTCCGTATGGCTGCCTCGTCACAGTGTCCGTCTCCGTATGGCTGCCTCGTCACGGTGTCCGCCTCCGGAAGGCTGCATCGTCACGGTGTCCGTCTCCGGAAGGCTGCCTCGTCACGGTGTCCGTCTCCGTATGGCTGCATCGTCACGGTGTCCGTCTCCGGATGGGTGCCTCGTCACGACTTCCGATGTCCGTCTCCGTATGGCTGCATCGTCACGGTGTCCGTCTCCGGATGGGTGCCTCGTCACGACTTCCGATGTCCGTCTCCGTATGGCTGCCTCGTCATGATGACAGTCTCCGGGTGGATGCCGTCACGGTGCCCGCCTCTGGACGGCTGCCTCGTCATAGCGTCCGTCCTCGTGCGGCCGCCTCGTCACGATGGCTTTATAGCAGGCAGGCGCGTGAGGTTCATGGCAGCTAAATAAACAACTCCATGACACGTTTCTGGACCGCAAAACTTCACAATATGCACAGCCAAACAAACTGAGGCAATAGGCAGCATAGCACACCCGCACACTGAATCACCAAACACGTATTTGACAGTTCATAGGCCCATCAGAATCCAACTGCCGTGTCCAGTTACCGGTAACTGGCTACAATGTCCGACCCATTGGTTCACTCGAGATGCAATCAAAGACGTGCTGTGGACGCTAGCCGACCTGTCTGGATCGGTTGTTGCGGTATACCGATAGTCCGTGGTCTCAACAGATAATTCCAGGCTGATGGTCAGACATGGCGAGATTCAACATGGACGCGGCCATTTTGTGTTCGCACCGGGACGGGTGAGGCGAATGTACGCAGTCGTCAGACCGGTCGTCAGTCTCAAAGCCACGACCCAGCGGCGACGCTCGGCGGCCATTACAGATCGCTGGCAGAAGCACCCGTAGAGGCGGGCGCCGTCCCGCAACCGGGGCTACCTCACGACCGCGCCACACCAAACGCCGGTGCGACCAGCCGCAGCATCTTCCAACGTCGGAGCAGCCACAAGCAACAACATTGGCAGCAGACGAGGTACGACGAAAATGTCGAGACAGCGCCACAAATATCACACTGGCGTAACAAGCCGTAGCGACAGGCATACCGAGCGTTCCTGAGGCATTTCGGTTTTGCGACATTCACGTCGTAAAGAAAATACGTTTACACAATCCACATATGGTCGCAAACGTGGCGAACAGGTATCATACACTATTGGTGTCTTGATTCAAAGAGCAACTATACAAAAACATGTACCTCAATGTGGATTTCATAACCAGATCCAAACAACTCAAGCATGTTAAACACAAGGCTGCCGTGCAAAGGAAATAAAGCGCAAGTGCAATTTTTGCCACCTTGGCGCTTTCGCCACCGTCGATTCGCAGTACCGATCCCCACCGTCTCTCAAAATATGACTGTCGTTATCAGCCCCAATCACCCAAAATTTTGGACTTTCCTTTTAAAAAAGCGCAAGTGTAGAACAAATCCAATCCCCCACGTCAAAGGAGTGCAAGCGCTGTGAGCTATGCAAAAAACGCAAGTTTTTCTTACCATTCGCCGAATCATTTAATAACATGTGCATGCCCGGACTTCGCTTTTTTCTTGACGCTGTCCAGCCACAGCCTCCTGCTTCTACGCCATCTGGCACTACCGAGGAGCTCGCTCCCGTCTAGCTACAGCCTTCCGCCTCTACGCCGCCATCGCTCGCTGCCGTCCAGCCACAGCCTTCCCCTTTCCTGGCGTTGTCTGGACCTGCCGGAGAGCTCGCTGCCGCCCATCCACAGCATTCCATTTTCTCGCCGCCATCTGGCACTACCGGAGACTTTGCTGCCATCCAGCCGCAGCCTCCGGCTTCCCAGGCACCGTCTGGACCTGCCGGAGACTTTGCTGCCGTCCAGCCACAGCCTCCCGCTTCTCTAGCGCCTTCTGATCCTGCCGGAGAGCTCGGTGCCGCCCAGCCAGTCTCCCACTTCTCGCATCTCTTCAAGGTAGGTGGGGAGGATGCAGTCCACGATGCTCCAAAAGGAGGTGCAAACACCGCCCACCTTGAAGTCGTGTCAAATCCCCTGAGTCTGCTCTCCCTATGCTTAAGCCTGTTGCCATAGGTCAACAAAGCCTAGCCAATCTACGAGAATCAGCGTAAGTTTAAGTTGCTGCCTCGAATTATGAGTTTTATGTGTATTGGCGATTGCCCTCACCTACCCTGAAATACATCCATTACCATTAAAATAAAGCGCACGCCTGCACTTGTTTTTTCATCGCATACGCTGGTGAACCTGCTTTTCCTAAAAGCATCCATCCCGTTGTATTTGCGCTTGTCTTACTTAGCGGAGGTCACGTTTGTTGTTACAAAGATCAAAATATAAAAAACCTTTCCCCAATTCTGTAACGTCCATGTGTTCAGGTGAGTGAAACAGCATATAGCACGACTGATCTTAATGCGATAAATTTAATGGTATGCAATTCAAGTATTTACCACCAACCGCCCTAATATAGCAAAAAATCGAAAAAGCTCTCCCCTGAAGAAATGTTAAAATGCACTCGCGCTTTTTGCCTTTGTACGGCACAGGGGACAAAATCCTCGAAAAAGCAGCCGCCTGTGCCCGAGTCTGTGCTCAGGCATACGACGGTAAACCGTGGGGTCCGTCACGTCGCTCCTTCAAAACAAGATGAGATGAGTTTGGAGGTTGGAGGAGCGCTGAAATCGGATGCCACGGGAACGACTTCGGAGGAGCCATCAGCTGTCTGCGCTCAACTTAGCTCAACAGTTTTAGCGCACTGACGCACTGCGCACTGAATAACATGGGACATTGAGTTCACTGAACAAAATACATTCAAAATGGTAAATATCTATAATAGTAGTGATTATATGAACACGGAACTATAAAATGACTAAGAATATAATCTATCCGCAGTAAACTACACTCAAGTCCTTTGTTACCGTTAAGTGCCAACAAAAGGAACAAAAAAAAAACATCTGAATGAACTGCGCCACTAATGTCTATCGAAGCCTTCTCCAAACCCCTCTGAAAAACCACCTGCTATTTCGGAGGAGGCTGGAGGAAGTTCGGGGCGAGCTTTGGGGAGCTTAGAAGAGGTTAGAGAAGCCACGGGGTAGACCAAATTAGTTTGGAGGAGGTTGAAAGAGGTGAGAGGAGGTTAGAAGAAATTACAGAGGTTAGAGAGGTTAGATGATGTTACAGCGGGTAGAGAAGGTTAGATATGCTGATATGCAGGTTAGGTGTGTAGGAGAGGTTAAATGGCGGTTAGAGAAGGTTGGAGAAGGTTAGAGTCGGTTGGAGGAGGTTACAGCAGGTTAGAGCAGGTTAAAAGAGATTAGAGGAGGTAAGAGGAAGTTGAGGAGGTTAGAGGTGCGACGGGAGTAGGCCCATCGCCTTAACCTAAACTAGGCCCTAGGCCCACCGCCTAAACTTGGTTCTACTTCTTGATGACGGGGACGCCTTGCTGCAATACAAACCTTCCTTTAAACACGTCAGAAGCAAAACACTAAACAAATTAGGTCGGGCGGGGATGCAAAGCAGCCTATCGCCAGCACGCAAACAATACACCTGTTGCTTCCAAACGCGCCGGCCGAGACGCCGGAGACGCCACACCATTGTCTGCAGTCGGGGCCTGGTGGCAGCGGCGCCGACCGGGCCGCCGGAGACGCTACACCATTGCATGCAGTCGGGGTCTGGTGGTAGCGGCGCCGGCCGGGCCGCTAGAGACGCAATACCATTGTATGTAGTCAGGGCCTGGTGGCAGCGGCGCCGACCGAGCCGTCAGAGACGCCACACCATTGTATGCAGTCGAGGCCTGGTGGCAGCGGGCAGAGACGCCACACCATTGCCTGCAGTCGGGGCCTGGTGTCAGCGGCGCCGGCCGAGCCGTCAAAGACGTCACACCTTTGTCTGCAGTCGCGGCCTGGTGGCAGCGGCGCCGGCTGAGCCGTCAGAGACGCCACACCATTGTATGCAGTCGCGGCCTGGTGGCAGCGGCCTCATATGCTGGCGACGCAGCAGATCAACACTGCCAGCACGCTGATGATGGAGACCGACACAAAGGCCGTCATGTAGACCGTGTAGCCGCAGTAGAGCATGTCATAACTGTTGGCCCGGGAGTAATTCGGCCACGCGTTGCGGTACACCAGTGTGGCTCCTGCCGGCAGCAGACCACCACCGCGGCTCAAGCCAACCGCAGCCGGGCCACCGGCGCACTGGGATTACATCACTGCGGTTACCGTCTCAAATCGTGTCCCTAATTTACCGTCACCATCTCACGGGCTACGTTGCAAGCCAGGAGCCGCGTTGACATATCCAATGGGTGTTCCCGACGACGAGGTCTCAGTACCTCAGAACTTAACTTGGCAGGAAAAAGGCGGGAACAGATCCCATAACATAGAGATGTACCTGCCGTTGAAACATATGAAGAAACGTGAACGTGAAGAACTCCTTGCCAAGTAGCAGAGACTGTAAAATTTTGTTGTAACACTAGCGGTTACACACATCGCAAAGCTCCACAAAACGGACACAAATTGGTACATATCGAGCTCTATATTTGTCCGCAAAGAATTATTTTGGACGGCAAACGGTAAATCATGAGACAAGACGAAAGGACTTCAAAGCCGTGCTGCTCATATACGGCTCCTGAGTAATCATGCGGCGCAAATGAAAACTTGCACATCTTTTCACGCTTACAAATATATGTTTAAGTACCAATCTGCGGCTTGGCGTATGCAGCTATCTTGGGAAATAAAGGCAGCTAAGCCAGTCTCCTCAGCATCAACGAGCCTCTCAACACCCAAGCCACAGCAATCATATCGCCAACGCCTAGGACAAGCGACCTAGCAGCTCTGCAGAGAACCTGGCTGCGTTACAAGCGTCTAGTCACGGCCAACAGGCATCGAGCGCGAGGCCCCTTGTTAGCTCACGGACGCATGTATTAACTGCCCACTAATCGGCAGCGTCTCACCTGCAATGAACCAGATCAGATACGCCACCACTGCCATCACGTCCACGCAGGTGGTGTCCTTGCGCTGCGAGCTGAGGATGTGCAGGAGCATCAGCGCGCCTGCCGGACGGACGGCGGGCGTCAGCGTCCGCCGGCCGTGCTATACCCGATCAGACGCCACACCGCGCCGCGGCTCATAACAGCTTCGCCGCGAAACCAGAGGCGCGCCAATGGCCACGGCCGATCGCCCGGTTAGGCATGGCACTGCACACCCACTGCGGCCAGACAGCTGACGCCGAGGCCGCTACTGTAACGACGACCTGGCCGGTCGACGCCGTCGCCGACGGCGGTCCGCTGACGTGGCCTCTCGACCAACTCACCACCGACCACCATCCACACGGGGATGCCCGGCTCGAGCGGGCAGTCATCCATGTAGTACGAGCCGACGGCCAGCAGCGTGACGGGCATGCCGAACACCACGCCCACGCATAAGACGAAGATCACTGGTGGCCGAGAAGGGGGGCGTCAGGTCCCAAGACCGGCCCGGACGACAGGCCCCGAGGCCGGCCCAGACCACAGGCTCCGAGGCCGGTTCAAACGACAGACCCTGAGACCGGTCCAGACGACAAGCCCCGTGGCCGGTCCAGACCACAGGCTCCGAGGCCGGTTCAAACGACAGACCCCGAGACCAGTCCAGACGGCAGGCCCCGAGACCGGTCGACGACAGACCCCGAGACCGGTCCAGACGACAGACCCCCAGGCCGGCCCGGACAACAGGCTCCGAGGCCGGTCCAGACAACAGGCCCCGAGACCGGTCCAACCAGCAGGTCCCGAGGCCGGCCGGAACAACAGGCCCCGAGGCCGGCCGGAACGACAAGCCTCGAGGCCGGTCCGGACGACAGACCCCGAAGCCGGTCCAACCAGCAGGCCCCGAGGCCGGCCGGAACAACAGGTCCCGAGGACGGTCCAAACAACAGGCCCCGAGGCCGGAGCGGATGCAGTGCCGCAGCAGACTTCGGTCAGTGATCGGGTCAGGAGAGTCAGCGAGGTGGCAGCGCACTGTGGTCGGCGTCTCTCCATTGATGTGGAGGCACGACAGGCCGAATCGTTCGTCCGGCCTGATGAAACACATTACACAGGTCAAAGAAGGGGAGCTGTTATCGCTCGCCTGTAGCTCATCACAGGGGCCAAATACCAAATATAAACATGTATTTCGATTTCGTTTCCATGAACAGAGCTAGGGAGTGCTACAGAGCCAAATCTCAACAGAAGGTGAAACAAGTCTTGAGGGAGCAGCGGAGAATAAAACATATACAACGAACTCAAACTTGGCCGAGAAATAAAACACAGGTTGGCACAATAAAAACGTTACTTACCAAGTGCTACTAAAAACCCAAGTGGCATAAGAAAGACAGTGGCAAAGAAGTCACAGATGCTCGTGGACTTCTCGCGAGCCTCCTTGATCTGTCCAAACAAAGACTGGTAGCTGGGTGGTGCGTCACCTGAGGACAATTAGCGAGTGTAGAGCACATTTGCAGCAAGGTCTGACTGATTTCACAACACAGAAACAGACGTTTATCACTTTAATCGTCATAGCAGACCTGCATAGACCAGAGCCCTCCACCTTTGGACAAGACAATTCCTTTTCATGACCTGGCAACGCACCATTATCAGAACAACATCGCATCACATAACACTCAAAACATCTCAACAAGTGATGTCACTTTAAATTGTGTCATGCTGTTCCATGTTACATAATGACATACTATGCAATCTCACAATTTCATGAGCTTCATCATAACAATGGTGCAAAAAAATCATGGATTTGCCCATCATCACAATTGTGATCAAAATTTCCGTGAGCCATGGACCAGTGGACAAGTTCCCAGGCCACCGGCTCGACGGTAGCGCAGTTGGCCGACCCAGCTGTCACAGCACGGCCGCCAATCCAGGCAGGCGGGAGACTGACCATCGCCGCCAGTGCGGGTCACAGCCCAGGTCGCGGCAGCGGCCCGCACTGGATCCGGGGAGTCGTTAAAGCCTGGGCCGGTCGGCAAGGCCGGCATGGTCGCCGGCGCCAGACCAGCCTCCAACCGGCCAGGAACCGGTCCACCGCCACCTATTGCGTAGACAGGTATTACGAGGGCGCCACAGCTGGAAAACTCTAACATCCATTTCCCCCAGACAGGCGTTCCCATGCTTGATAATGCCACCTTCAAATGGTGATGCACACTATGCTACCACAATCAGCAGCTGGAATGTAAGTGCTTGTTCTACCTACTGGCCACCATGTGCCAAGGGAATGTTACTACAAAATGTAGCTGACTGACTGCATAACAAATATCTTCTTTGAGCCCATGGGTGCTAAGCAAATACAATGTTTGCAATTAGCAGTTTGAATGTGTCACTGGGAATGAATTTTCCAAGTCCCTTGTACACCAACTAAAAGTATTCATTTTGATGAAAAGCAGTTTCTAAAAACCAGACCACAGCTGAATGTTGACTTACCAATGGTCCCTGTTGCCTCTGCATATGTTGGTGGGGGATCATAATTATGATCACCCTCCTGAGGGGGTGCTGTGGGTACAACAGTATTCCCCTCTGTGCCACCATTACAATTGGCGAAATCAGCATGTGCCATTTAATCAGTCAGCACAATGGAGTTGGATGACAATAATTCTGTGCTGGAACTGTATTCTGAAACAAGAATAGATCAATGAACAATTTCATTACCTCTATGCCTTACTCTCATTGTGCTCAATAACTTATTTTGCAAGATACAAAAAATCCACATAATAAAAATAGCACACACTTGTACTCACTTTATGCAAAGGGGAGTATCTTTTAACTTCTCTTGGGATGGAAACTTAATGACAGATGCATCAAGATAAATTAATTGAGAGGTGCACAATCATTATTTCTGAACGCACACCCGCATGCCCCCCGCACGCATGCAAGCATGTGCACCCGCACACACACACACACACACACACACACACACACACACACACACACACACACACACACACATTATATATATATATATATATATATATATATATATATATATGTATATATATAATATATGTATATATATGATATATGTTATACATTATGCATGTTAATATATGTATATATATTATATATGTTATATATATATATAACATATATTATATATACATATATATATATATATATGTATATTTATATATAATAGCCCAAAGTAAGAAATGAAGAAATAGCCCCATTTTCTCATCATTCACAATACTTTCTGCCCAAGGAAGATGACCAATGCATGATAAGTTCATGTTAAGTTAGGTATTTTACTAGATCAAGACCAGAAAACAAGCTGAGTTAGAGTGGGATGATGCGCCAAGTCTGGTTACTACTGATTCCACACTGGTCGAGCACGTTATAATGCTAGTTGGCTGCATGCTGGTTACAATCTCTCTGGGCCAAGGGTACTCCACTCAATTTAGAACACAGGTGTGCTCACTCAGACCATCAGCCAGAGCTTGCCAAAAGCCTGGCAAAACGCACCTGGCACCAAGGTCGTATAAAAGCACCTCATGCATAGCACCTAGGGCACCGTGGTACTCCCCAAGTACACAACCACTTTCTTTTCAGGCAGCAAAATAATGGGTCCTAATCACACGATCTTCTTGAAAACTGAACCACATATTATTCTAAGCATGCTGTTTTGAGAAATCATGCTGATCATGCCGTAAGTCGTTTCATATACTGTCATACACCGGTAATATCAGCGCCCGTTCCAGACCCACCCATCCTCACCGCCTGTGTTGTTGATATTTGCGGCGTGTACTCTCAAGAAAATGTAGCTCATCCGTACACAAGCCAGCTGATGATGACGTCATTGCCGAGCGAACTGGGTTTCTGTAACCTCTTTTGCATGGTGTCTGCGACGTTACTAGGATATTAAGCAAACGGAAAAGGTATTCCAATACCAGCCAGAGCGTTCTGCGCGCCGATTATGGTCCCTGAGTCGATGTGAGTCTATATGTCGGTCAGACATCAGTATCGCACAGTCTTCTCCGTGTCGGGGTAGCGCAGCAGCATATCGATTCGTCGTTCGGCTCGCTGTAAATACGCCCGCAACGTGGCGCAGCATTAACGATTACGGCGGTGTTGAGCGGAGTGCGGTTTTTATTTGTATTTTGCATTTCCAGGGCAGTGCGGCAGGTGTTAGGTACGCGATTGCGAAGTATTGTATGCATGCATATCAATCACTGTAATAAACATAACCGCGTTTTGTCTTTATTCTCGCTTACATCAGCATCAAATATACTATACCTGTTTCCAATATCAAATGTGCCTTGACAAGCACCGTGCCCAAGTAGGCATTTCGGAACAGTTCGTCCCCTTAATGGCTTGGTTAGGCACAGCTCTCGTACCTCCAGGCTATATTGTGGGCATATTTACTGATGCTTTTAAGGTCCCTCTGTCATAACAGGTGATTATGCTTTATCAGTAACTTTAAGCTGATTTATTCTATTCCTGATGGTTTCAAGCTCACTCAGAGCTAGCTGGTAAAAAAATCAATTTACTGTGTGGGACAACTTAGAAAATGGGTGTGCTGAGCCTCCCCTTGAGCAGGCTAAATTTGTGCCATGCTGAATTTTATAGCTATCTTTGTTTCCACAATTTCTTGAGTATTTTTGCCTGAAATACCTTTTAGGTATAGGTAGACATAGGTACCTCACATTTCAAAGGAGCATTGTGCATAAATCATCTCATTTATGTCAGTACATGTTGTAGGAATCATAAAACAGGTACATCTACACTCTTCCCTCAAATGTTAATAATGGATAGGTTACATCCAAGCTATGCAGAAGCATAACACCACTGACCCAACAGCACCATTGCTACAGTGATGCAGTATGCCTGCAGTTCCTCCATGAGAATGGCCTTTTGAGAAAAGTATGAAAAAGAACCAGAATCTAACCTTACCTGACCCAACCTTATTGTCATCCTCCTCACCTATATTGACCAACCTCCTCACCCATTTCCCTGTAACCCATTGTCTCATTAGCATCTGTGCCATCAGTGTGACAGAACATTATCTGACATTTGATATCTGCAGTCATCATCACAATAGTTAAATTTTGAAGTTAAAATTATAAGATGCCCCAAATATATATGTTCTTTATGCATCATTTATGGTGACTTATGATATTTATGATCATTTATGGTGTCTTATGATCTTCATGATCATTTATGGTGTCTTAGAAACAGCTCATAAACAATTTAAAATCACAGTATAGGGCACCCATATGAACAGTTACCAAATTTTACAGCAGCATAATTCCTTAAAACATTTACTCAACATACTTTTGGTTGCAACTAAGTGCTGAGCTCTGAATGCTTAAGTTTGCAGGAAACATGCACTGAAACCACTGGCTGCTGCTGCAGTAGCAGAATGTTTGACATTATATGTGTTTTGTAGTCTGGACTCACTTCTACCTTAAAGGACCATTCGGTCATCTATATATCCGAAAACAAAGTTGTCAAAAACTACACTGTTTGTGAACAATGCTGCTACTGCCAGCTCAGAAAAGTAATGTTTTATTACATATTGAAGAGGTTTGAAGCCCATGGCTGGTTTCATGCACATGACATGATTCCATTGAAATTTGTATCTAAAATAGACAGGCCCTTGGCCTTGTCTTGCTCATTGTTGTTTTGAAAGCCAACACTAGATGCCATTTAAATGGGATCATTCCAGTGTGTAGAATATTTTTTTAAAAATTGTTGTGTTGTGTCTGCTAAAAATCTGCTATATTCCGGAGTCTGGGAGTGGTCCTGAGTCCCCCACGACGGACCGCCTGCAGCAGGTGGTCTGTGACGTGGCTGTGATCCAGCAGAGCCTGCAGCGGTTGCGCGTGTCACCGGGCACCACCGACCGGCAGCAGGAGTGCACATATTTGTGGTGCATATATCCATAAAATGGATGAAAATGGTGTGGTGCAAACCTCAGGTTTTGTGATTCTATGGACCAGAATAATGAACAGCCTTTCTTTTATGTCAGTGTCAGATGCAGCCTCTGTTGGGCATCAGTGAACCATGGCCTTCAAAATAGGACTGCAAGATGTGTTGTATGACCCAGAACTGCATACTGGAGATGTGGATTATGACTTTTTTGATGAGCCAGACCTATCAGAGTCAGAGACTCCAAAGAGTAAGAGCTTGGTAAACCATGTAAGAAGTGCAACCATTAATGGGCTTAGCACCGCTGCTCATGCACATATTTGTGGTGCACATGATCATGATCAAGTCCATTGTCTTGATGAAGCAAGTGTGGCTGGCAGCATTCCAGGAGTGAACAGCAGTGAACTTGAGTCTCAAAGTGATCTACAGTCAGATGATGAGCCAGGGTCTGAAGCTAAACCGGAGTCTGATGCTGACCCGGCATCAGACTCTGGCCCAGAATCTGAAGCTGAGCATGAGTCTGAAGCGCACCTGGAGCCTGACTCTGCTGAGTTCTGCTATATTCCGGAGTCTGGGAGTGGTCCTGAGTCCCCCACGACGGACCGCCTGCAGCAGGTGGTCTGTGACGTGGCTGTGATCCAGCAGAGCCTGCAGCGGTTGCGCGTGTCACCGGGCACCACCGACCGGCAGCAGGCGGACCGGGCCGCCGCCGCCGCCGACAGCGTGGCCCGCGCGCGCCGGCCGCGGCCCCGCTCCGGCTGCCCGCACCGCAAGCGCTGGAGCAGAAGCCTGGCCGAGGCGGCGCTGACGCAGCAGCAGATCGCGCGGCTGGTGTGTGCCGACTCGGACTCGTCCAGCAGTGATATAGTGGGCGGTTCCGAGTCAGACAGTGACGCCGGCGGTCGGCCCCCAGAGGTGCAGACCTGGCTCGGCGCTGGCGGTGGCGGTGATGTCGGGGACGAGGGCGCCTCGCCGCGCGGCGCCTTGGGCCGGAGGGTCCGGCCCTCAGCCGCCGGGGGAAGCTCGGCACCGGCCGGTCGGCTGGGCCTGCTGGCCGACGCGGTGCGGCACCTGGAGCGCGCCAAGCCGCGCACGGCACCGCCGGCCCGCAGCCGGCCCGTGCGCGCGCCGCACAGGAAGAACATGTCCTTTAGCAACGATGAGGTGCGCCAGATCGACCGCCACAACCGCATCCTGCTAAACAAGATCGTGGCTCAGCAGCGGCGGCCGATGGCCCGGCCGACGGCGGCCGGCGGCGGCGCGCCACGCCGCACCAGTCAGGCGGACCAGATTCGGCGCGATAATCTGGTGAGCGCGCCTCAGATCACTGTCATTCGGTGCGCCTACACGATATTGAGTTGTGGCGGCTGCTGGTCGGGACATATGTGGTGTCGGTATAATTTTGAAAGCGACGTGCTGGCCGCCAGTGACTGTGAACGGCTGCTGGATGCTCCACGTGGAGCGGCACAGATGCTTTGACGGCTGGCGCTATCTCGCAATGACCGCGCACAAATGGTACGCCTCCTTGGAGATGAATCGTGGCAGCCCCGTCATTTGTTGTGCTCACGTAGGTATGTCATCCATTTTGTGTGGAAAGTGACGACATTTTTTTGATCACCTTGTGCGGTTACAGATACTGTTGCAGAAGATTCACGGCGCCCGGCCGTCGCGCTCGGTGATCTCGGGCTTCCACGACGAGCCGCCGCCGGTGCGCCCGATCCTGGAGAGGGGAGCCGTCAGACACAGGCGGCCCTGGGTGGACCGCTAGTCCCACCGCGTGTCTAGCTCCATGCACGCGGCCGGCTCGGCCGACAGCCTCTTGACATGTGTGTGTGTTTGTGTGTTGTGTGTTGACTTGGTGGTAGGGGACGAGCCTGTTTATCTCGCTTGCACTGTGTGCACAATCTTCATATTGCACTTGTGTAATGGCTGCACACATCTATTTCCTAGGGTTCAGAGACTGGCATCGGCGTGCTTAAGGATAAGGGCCATAGCGCCATGACCCTTCTCTTGGGCGTTACGGCGTCCCTTTTGACACTGGCGGCTGCTGCTAGCGCACGCCGAAGGGTTTTATTGTGTATCATTAAAAGATATGCTGTGTCAACAGGGGTATGTGCAAGAATTGACTATGAAGGGGAAAGGGGGGGGGGGGAGCACAGCTAAAAATGACAATAAAGACCCAGTTAAGTGGGCCGCAGGCTGATGAAACTTCTTGTGTTAGTTTCAAGTCTTTACATCGAATTTCCCATTGTCAACATTGCGTCAGGAGACTCCGAGGTCGGGAAATGTATCTCACAAAAAGGTGGCCTCAGACCCGAAAATGCGCCTCCAAGGTATTATAATGCGCCCGGAAAATATACAAATGCACCGCTCGGGCATGGCAGAGGTCTCCCAAGACCGCAAAGGGCGCCACGATATTTGAACAAGCGTTCCTCATGCCTGCGAATTGGACGTGCAATCAGCTGACCAGAGGGCTCCCAGGCCGAAAAATACGCCTTCGAAGACCAAAATGGCGTCCCAAGGCGTGAAAAATGTGCTTCCGTGCACGGCTGAGCGCCCCAACGACTCAAGTGTATGAAAGAGTGCCCCAGATACGCAAATGTGCTTGTCAGGCCAAAGAGTGTCTTACTCGGGCGTAAGAGGGGACCGGCTAACCGGTGCGTCTTTCGCCCATGAAAGGGCCCGACAGACCTGAAAAACAAGGCCCAACAGGTCTGATCTCGGGGATGAAACATTATCTGCAGGCTAGAATACGTGTCACTTGGGTTAAGCATGCCCCCGATGCCTGAAAGGGCCCCCGGATCTAAAAGTGCACCTCTCAAGATATCTCAGGCCGAACTTTGTGTGACAGGCCCAAGGGGCGCATGCAGGCGTGAATATGTATTCCTCAGTCCTGGAGCGCGTATACCGACTGATGAGTTCACAGTAATATCCCTGCCGAGTTGTAGGATTTTATTGACAGCTGTGTATGAACTTGCCCAGTGCGGGACCGGACGCGAAAGGTTGTACCACTTCAGTCATTGGCAACTGCGTGTCATTGGTGGAACTGTTAAGACGACTTTGCCAGCGCACCATCGAACAATGTCTTTCAATACGTGTAGAACAGTGATCAAGCTGAGCTAAGATTCGCATGAAGCACCTTGGCCTTATAAGCTTTAGGACAGGCCTGGTAGAAAGTGGCGTCATTAAAGTGTGAGATGCCGTTTTTCACACCACTATCCATTCTCCACGAGACATCAAGCCTGGCTGTGCCGTTTGGAGCACCGCTGCAAGTAATGGCCCCGGAAGAAGGGGGGGGGGGGGGGTATGGGTATGTGAACCAAATTTGGACGCCCCTTTTGTTGTTCAAAGATGATATCTCTGAAGAACACAGAGAAATATGGAACTTGAGTCTATATGACAATTATTGGACGACCTGCAGCGATCAGGGATGTTGTCGCGTCATTGAGGGTTCCTTTGCTGATCCGGGGCCAACTGCGCGGGTCGGAAGGCCTTCCTTGTCGAGGAGGGAACGACGTGATATGATATATCCTTCTCGTGGCCTCCGGATGGGCCAGGAGATCCCGCCCCGTGTCACCAGAATGACAGCCAGAAGTCACTTTGCGATGGATAAAATGACCCTTCAGCCCTTGACCGGAAACGGTAATGTGCCCCAGGTGTTCTTCTCAAGGATTGTTCTTCTCAATTTCCCCTTGCCCGGAAGGAAATACGGGGTCGCATTATTGTTGGGTAGGGTCATGGTCTCATTATCGTTGAATAGTGGGCCAAAACGGGCTTTAAAAAAATGAGCGAGGCCATACCGTGCTTGCCTGAGACCGCTCATTTTTGTCGGAATGGATTAGTGAAACAAATTCCATCAAAAGATTTTAGCGCGCTCACCCGCAACCTCGAGAGCAAAGGCAGCGATGACCTGAGTTGCAGCTTCCCCAAAACCGGACGACGCCGGCCACTGAAAGTGACAACAGACGGCGAGCGCCGTATTGATCTGTCTTCTGGGCAGATTAACAGGTGCAGAAACGCGGGAAATAGATGTTCTATCCTTACTCTTCCAGTTCCACCACCTAATTCCAGCACCACTTCACGGTGCTTTAGAACCAATCCGTTCTTATCACCAGTCGAAAGAATTGCACACGTAGAATATGCGCTCAGACTGCCTTCTAAATGTAAGATACGGTGTTCGAAAGCGGTCAACGGCTCTTCTTTCAGAAGCGTCATCATTTTCGTTCACGTGATAGCCACGGCTGAGAGTTAACCGCCGGGGTGACGCGCCGTGTCCCTGGGGTTTGATGACAGTCCACAATGACAGGCAGGTACTGTGGCCAAGTAGTGGCTGGTTCTTCTCCAGCAAATGGTCCATCTTTCCAAAGAAGGGTAGAAAATCGCAATCTTAAATTTTCAGGATCTGTGAGATGACTATGTAGAACCATTTCCAAAATACCAACGTCCATGTGCTGGCCGCGCTCATCCTGAAGAGATGAGCTCTTGAGGATGAGCGCAGCTCGCTATATGGAGTACCGACAGTATAATCGTTGCGTACTACCACAACGCCGTTTTATCAGTATCTGCATGTGTACCGAAGGTCGCTAACTGAAATAATCACATTGTGCTCATAATACCAAAAAAAAAAAAAAAAAAATAGCTGCGCGCCTTTCTTCTTTATATAAGCTCCAAATCATGACCGTAGAGAGAATTGGACAAGTCATGAAAAATGATGTCGGAAATGGGATGGATAGGGCTTATGGGTTCGGCGCTCTAAATGAAAACCACAAAGTTTCATCCCAGGCCTCCGACCAATGTGGAGGATCCATGAGCAATCGAGATTGCGCCGGCCTATTAGCAATTGATCCCGTCAACGGCGTAGACCATCCGACAAAATGGGAAAGCCCAATATCAATGGGAATGGCACCTGAGCAATTGGCGGTACCGCAGAAGTCCATCAAAAACGCCCCCTTCAACAGTTAAGGGTCTTCAGAGCAAGCGAGAGGGAGCCGAGACCAAGGTGGTGGGCCCCTAAACGATCCGGAGCCCCGGCAGGTTAGCGTATAGGGCCCCGGCCAGAGCGCAGGGCCTTCTGAGCAAACGGAAATAACCCAAGAGCCCAAGACCAGTGCACAGTAATTAATGCCATTGAGCGATCGAGTGTCTTGGCAGATAGAGGTTTAGGGCTCCAGACGACAGCTAAGGGTCCTTCGAGCAAATGTGAAGCCGACAAGAGTCAAGGGTCTTCCGCAAATGAAATGGATGGGAGAGTCCGAAATCGATGCAGAGGGCCGGTGAGCACCAACTTCCTCGGTGTATACATTTGTATAGGCCCCAACAACAGCAGAAGGCTCTCCGAGCAAGTGAAAAGAGCCCGAGACCAATCTGAAGGACCTTTGAGCTCCAGCAGCAGCGTTGGGCCATCCGGTAAATGCAGAGACCAAAGGCAGCGTTGAAGCCTGTCTAGTGGCCGGATTGACCCGATAAGTTGGCATACAAGGCCACCGGCAAAATCACTATAATATCGCCTCTAAATAGCGAAAATGAGCCTGAAAATCTCCCCCAATCACCACCCTTTTGACCAACGAAGAATTATTTGTGTCTGATCGCGGGCCCTTCACTTCGATTGCGACTGTTCATGGTCGCCTCGAGGCCCAAAGACGTCCAATTTTGTTGTCTTGTTTTATAAAGCTGCGCCCGTTCGGTCAGTTATGGGCCGCTGCGAAGGGCCTCTGGATAGCCCATTGAGCCTTAAAATCTCCCAATCACCGCATTCTAAATCAGCGAAGAATTGTCTTTGTCCGCTCGTGGGCCCTTCACTCTCGCTTGCCGCTGTTCTTGGTTTCCGGGAGGGCCAAATGCCTCCAATTTTGATGCGTTTTGTGTTAACCAACTGCGGCTGTTCTACCGGCTCGGGGCCATGCTAAGGCCATGGCCCACGGGCGACAGCCACGTGCACACCCTTCCCCCCCTCTGAGTTCACCACTGCTCGGGAAGGTTTGTGGAATTCTTTTCAGGCTTATTTCAGCTTTAGGTTCTAGCTTGCTTCAGTTTAAGAATGCAAAATATGTAATTAACGGGAAGAACGTCATGCCCCGCCCAAAAGTGGGCCAAATCGACATCCTAGGGGATGGGGGGCCTTTTATCAGGAGGAAATTTGTGAACCCTGTAACCGCCTCCCCCACTCCCCTACTACCCTCCCCTGTAACCCTGTAACCGCCTCCCCTATTAAGACTGCTTAGGACGTCATGTACGTCATGTAGAACGTCATGCCCCGCCCAAAAGTGGGCCAAATCGACATTCTAGGGGATGAGGGGCCTTTTATCAGGAGGAAATTTGTGAACCCTGTAACCGCCTCCCCTACTAAGACTGCTGCGCCCCTAGAAGTGATAGTGGTACGCTGAGCCCGATGTTCTATAACTTGGTTGTTACGCAAGCCTCGTTGAGCTGCGAGACAACGAAGCAAAACCACACAGCGATCGGATAGTGGTAACGGGCGTCTCGCCGCCAGTCATTGTGACCCGGCTTATGCTGAGTGGATGTCATTGTATATATACATACATATTCATGTCACCGGTCTGGATGCGGTGCGAGTGGTGAGGGCGCCTTATAAGCCATCTAAATTATCTGCTTCGCAAGCCCTTTGGTGCGTAGGATCCGGCACTAGTGCCTGTAGTTCCGAATCAGCCATTAGCTGCTGTCTCACCCGACCGTGAATTGTCGGTGCGCACCACACGCCAGGTGATCTTTCTCTCAGCTGTACTCGGCCTGCACCATCAACGTGGCTTGAAACCATCCCCGTCACTCGCACGCCCCATGCACGTATGACACCGATCTCGATCCCGCAATGCTGAATCATTTAATCGTGTCGTCGCGAGAATATACACCGCGACGACCCAGTGTTTACGCCAGTCACCAGCGTCGCGCGCGCGCAACTCGTGTAATTGCATTCGATCGAAGTCCACTCAATCACATTCAGTGAAGTCCGGATACTGGCTGCGCGCATCATATTCTCGGCGTCTATTATCTGGTGTGTGCCGACACTGTGCTCGGGTTAACTAGGCCCGGAGAGCCAGGAAACCTGACAGGTCGTGGACGGCAGCTGGGGGCACGGCCGCGACAGGCCGGGCCCCGTTCCGCACGGGCCAGGTGGTGACGCCGCGGACGCCAGCCTCAGCGGCGGCCGTCCGGACGGCAGACAGCGCGACAACACAGCGCCGCGCACAGCACCGGATGTATGGAGACCCCGGACAGGCGACGACCTCACAGCAGTGGGAGGCCGACGACGAGCACCACTCAGGCGCACCAGAGCAGCCGGCGACCGGCACCTGGCGACGGCCTGACCGTATCACAGGGGGCCCGCAGCAGCCATTCGCAGTCACCACCTCGCCAGGCAAGGGCGGCAAGGCCAACGTCACATGAACGTAGCGAAGCGGGGTCACGGGGTTACAGCGGCAAGTGTAACACAAAAGTGACAGACGCCAGATAGTTGCAACCGCAAGGGTAACATGACCTACAGTCATTAAAAACACCGACGTCAAAGCAATGCCAGACTGGAGGGGTAACTTTGGGAAGGCACCCGTCCCGGATGTCGCACGTGTCACGACATTCCACGGCTCGTGCCAGAATCCGGGCACAGGGAACTCACAAAGAACGGTGCTCTTGAGTTCTCATGGCCTACGCTTGGCGTCCCGAGTCAGAACCACATCCCCGCACCAAACCCAGCCAAGCAGCCCGTCTGCCCCAGACGCGTGGCCGGGCGTCTTCAAACACACCATCCACGCTCGCTCTCTGACCCTATGATAGAACACGTGCAGATATCCCCGCCCCGCCCAACGTGACCCGCCGTGCAGACGAGTCACGCGCGGGCGGCCACGTAACGACGATAGATAACGCTGACGTAGATCATGATAAGCACCATGATGAATATGTCGTCGAAGAGGCCGAGCAGACCAAACACGGCTTCCGGGAGGATGTCGAGCGGGGAGGCCACGTATAGCAGCGCCGCCAGGAAGCAGACCACCACGCGGATCCGGAACATGAGGAACAGGCCACCCTCGCTGAAGAACTCGGCCCACAGGTGGCGCATCAGCGTGGGCAGGTCGCGCAGATACTCCATCAACTGGCGGCGGGCGTGGTAGCGTCACGAAGGCCCGAAAGGCAGGCAGCCGCCCGCCCGACGGCGGCACCAACCATCGAGCACACGGCGCCGCCGCCTTCCGGCCTGCCCACTCCCTGTCGACGCGTCTGTCAGGCTGCCGGTACAGGACTGCTGCTACGTTAGGCATGGGAGCCCACTTGAATGTCAAATACGTCTCGCCCATTACTTTGCAAAAAAAATCCTTTGGGAAGCAGGGCCAGCCACAAAACACTTGCGGTCACTGGCTCGCACCCTCAACGCCCGCGCCGGCTTCCGCCCAGCCAGCGGCGCCCATCCCGCGCTAGCCTCTGACCAGCCAGCGGTGCCCATCCCGCGCTAGCCTCTGACCAGCCAGCGGCGCCCATCCCGCGCTAGCCTCTGACCAGCCAGCGGTGCCCATCCCGCGCTAGCCTCTGACCAGCCAGCGGCGCCTTTCCCGCGGCTAGCCTCTGACCAGCCAGCAGCGCCCATCCCACGCTAGCCTCCGACCAGCCAGCGGCGCCTCACCTCGCGCGGTTCGCCCGAGAAGCGCCGGTTGTATCTGCTGGCTTCGTGACGGGCCCGGTCGCGAGCCTGTATCTCCTCCAGCTCGGCCGAATTCAGCTCGTCCTCGGTGAAGCTCGGGAACAGCAGCGTCACCTGGCGGCGCGGTGGCGGTCAGCCGCCTGACGGGCCGACAGCGGGAGAGACGGCGATCCGGGACGCGAGTGACGCCGCGCACCTGCCAGCTAGCCGGCGATCACGGCTGGCAGCAGGATCCGGTAGAAGATTATCAACAAGCTCGTCCGAAATAGCACAAGAGAAATGAGCTTAGAATTAAAAACATGAGCAAAATAAGCCTGCCAGAAGATCATTATGGATGAAAAGAAACAAATTTCCCAGATGCCAATAAGGCAGCCCATGATCACATCAGTAGATGAGTTGAAAGAGCGGTCCCGCCACTTTTACTGAGCACATTCATCAGGGATGCTATCTACAGAACTAAGAAAACTTCTCTTGTATTTTGAATGACACCGAGCATCCTGCACGCACCGGCTGTCGGCAGAGCGCACACTTCATGGGGCCGACGAAGCTACCATGGTCGCGGTAGGTGAACAGGCACTGGGCACAGAAGATATGGCCACAGTTGGTCTCAATGCCAAGCTGGATGTTGTCAGCCAGGCAGATAGCGCAGCCTGAGTCAGCGCTGCGTCGCCGGTCACGTGGCCTTGGCGTCGGCGGCACGGCAGCCACCCTGGGTGCTGCCATACCATCTGCCTGAGCTGGGCAGCCATCAGGACATGGTCAGTAGCAGTGGCAATGGAACCTATCCAGACTTAGTATGATTGGGGAGGAGAAAGACCAATTTGCCTCTGCTCTTTCCATGTAGCTCCACAGAGGTAATACACACTGCTTCCAGCAATGAAAGGTAACTTAACCCCACAGGAATAATATGCACTGCTTCCAGTGATGAAAGGCAACTTATCACATGACCACATCTCATCAGCTGGGAAGCACACAGCTGCTACAGCAATTGTCAAAAGCACACTAAATATAAATAGCTGCACTCAGGAAGGAAAATCTAGAAATCAACATGTGCTGACAGTGCCAGACCTAAGGAAATACATAAAAATGAAGCAAGAACAATACCTTGATTTGGCATGCCATTTTGATGCAATACTGGAGCACCAAATTGCTGGCCAAATAGAGCTGTCCAGTTCAGGGTTGGTCTGGGAAATTGATGTTATTATATCATGACTACAAAACATGAAGCAAATAATCAGGAACATCAATAGGTTTAGATTTCCACAGGAAATTAAATCAAGGGATACAATTTGGAACATAATTTGGTGAAATTGTACCACCTTGCAAAGTCAAACCTAATCTGTGGAGTGTCTGACATGGAAATAAAGCACCTCTCTGATGTTTTTTTTTTTAAAAATACAACTCATCGCATGCCATGGGTTACAGATGGCCCCTGAAAGCACCCACCCCACTAATGAAAAACACAATAATCTACAGCCTTACTGCTTCCATTCTTCCATGCAATCATAGTTTAGATGAGAGCCTAATAAGCAGCACAGCACTGATATTCTTTAAGTAATGCCAATAATGCTCACAGTGCTGATCACTGTTCTAAAAAGGGAGGGTTACCACTTGAAGAATACTCACAGCACCTACCTGAAGATGAGTATCACAGAAGAGATGGCAATAATAATGAATGTGGCAGTCAAAAGCACTTCATCCCCTACCCCCTCCACATAGCTGCCTCCTGGTGCTCCTGGCCCTTCTCCTGCTTCCCAATGGGACATGCCAAATCTGAAAGTTCACAATATACTGACCTCACCATAGTTAAAATAAATATCCTCATTCCAGGCATGCAAAATTGCAAAAGTTATGTCCTATATGATCATTAAGCTGAATGCCCTGAAAATATATCCAATACCACTCAAAATATTTTAGCTGTTATGCATCTATTCTGAATACACTCGGGCAGTTATTAAGTACAAATAAAAACATCTATCATATCTATCAGCACGCCATTCCGATTGAACGGGAGCATAGTAGCACTGCGACCACCAAATCAAGATCACACCATATAAAGCTATTCCAAACATTGAGCTAATAAGAGCGCGTTACATCCATAGCATGGAACCCACCTTTCCCAAACAGCAACAGCGCTGCTCGCGTTGGCAGACCGCAGGATTCCGCTCGAAGCCAAGACACTTTGACATGAAACCCTGATTTTGTCGCTATGGCAAAGGATTCACTTCGTGATTGCGGCCACATTTCCCTGAATGCGTGGATTTACGCGTGTACCTACCGCGCGATGTCATCAGACCGGGGTAACGGATAATTGACGCCACCAATTGGTAAGTGACCGTAGCTCGAAGGACAACTACCAAGCGTTGTCACGTTACTTGGAAACCGCACCCGTTCCTAAGGTCCCGTTATTGAGGACGGCACAACGCGCGTTGAGAATAGCTGACAAGGCACGCCGCACTGCACGAACAAATTACATCGCTCATCGGGACCATTCGGGGAGCGGTTGCAGAAGACCGTTTGGTACGGTTTCACTTTACCTTTATGCTAATGCTTTAACAGCCACACATGTGCAAGCGATCCACGTCGCACGTCTGGCGTTTCTGCCCCATGGCGATACCAGACGCAACGGAAAAGGACGCAGGTGAATGTGTACACCGATGAAAGTTGAGCGCATTCAAAGTCACATCCTTCCTTTGCCTCCGACTTTGAGCGGCGTTCTCACAAGCGGTAGTAACGTGAATGCAGGGCGCAGCGTCCGAGCGCATTGGTGAGTAGCGGTGGTGAGGACACCGCCCGGGTTTTATCCGTCTGTCCGATTTGCTCTTCGGACTAAACCGCGCCGGTTTGACCCACAGCTATGTTCGCGACGTCAGAGCATTCCCAACGGCAGACATCAGATCGTTTTATTTTCCAGAGACAAGGCCCGATCCGAAAAAAGGCTCCTGGGTTCTGCAATGATGATGTATTACATCGGACATCGATCCAATGCAGCAGAAGCCGCGCTGCGTCACACGTGGTTTTAATCCATATCACCACTCAGTTCGTGCCCGGCGCAGCAGGCGCCTGGAAATCAATCACGTTGGCCGCTAATCTAAAAAGGCGCTCTCAGATGCCGCAGCCATGACCGTCAGTCCCAGCAGCGGTTCCAGCATGGGCGACGCCGAGATCACCGGACCGCGCCAGAAACAAGGGCAGCCGTCGTGCCACTCCGTTCAACACTTCCTCGGCATGGGCGGTGTCAACGCCTCCGGGCGGTAGCGGAGATGGGTGCCGTAACGTGCCGGGGGTTCAGCCCGTAGCCTAGGTCGTCTTCGGTGGCACAGGCAGCAACATCTCCTCCTGACGCTCTTTCATGCGCGAGATGAAGGCCTGACCCTTGCTCTTGCGGAAGTTCTCGTACGGGTCGTGCAGGTTGACGCCGATACCCTTGTACTGATCCTGGCGGTCTCGCACCTGCGACACAACAACGGAGCTAGAATGTTACGGAATGATTGCGATGAGGTATAATATCATGGATGGAATGATTCTTCTAACAATCGTCATCGTCTAATGTCTTAGCGTGTACACAACGCTTCCGCCAGCTGCTGGTTCTCCTGCCGTCGTCGGGCGTTAGATTGAGTCCTACGAAGGACGGGATGGTGTTCAGCTTTCAGTTCAGTATGCGTGGCTGAAATCTTGAAATCGTCAAGTTGAGGGGCCGTGCGTGGATTACGTTATGCATGGGAGGGGCTGATAGAGCGTAACGGAGACGTAACAAGCGAGGGAGAGGCCTTGGACGGCGAACCGTCGTGCTCAGGTGCGGTTGCAAATCATGCTCAACTATTTAAAAAAAGTTTCAAGACAGATGCCACTCGTTTTCTGTCGTGACAAGGAACACAACCGATATTTGTTTCGCGTCTCTCACTGAAGAAGTGCCAAATAGACGGTACGCTCGACATAGCGTAACGAGGAGACGGGGCCTCACCCCATACTACCAGGGCAGGAGAAAATGAATGAAAATGAGTAACCTTGTCTATACATGGCGCTTGGTTTCGCTACTGTTAGTGGCTATGTGACGTGAAGATTTTCCAGGCCGCCATCCCGTTATTTGTGAGCGCTCGTCCTGTGGCCATGACGTCATTCATGCATAAACGGCGCATTTACACTCCATGGCTGCGAGATGTCTGGTATGTCTAGGTAATCCTCAACACCATGGCCAGCCTCGACGTCCTGCAGCGACGGACGTACATGGGCGAGCGTCAAACATCTACGGAAAACAGTGCTTGTTACATGAAATAGCGCACATGAGACAACTTGTTTCAAAAGGACACCTAAATATCAGGACAAGTAGGGTGTTCCCCTTGGCCCTCTGTAGCCTGTGACGCTCCTGCGTCTGTCGTTGGAGCACTCCCGCAATCCGCACCCGTATGTTAATACGACCCTGACAGAAGGAGCGTCACAGCTAGCGGTGCTGAGCAGGCTTTCGTCTGTAAATGGGAGACGTCAGCGGCGGCGCGGCCGCGGGCACAGACGCACCTCCCCGCCGGAGATGGGCTCGGCGATGCCCTGCTCCTTGCTGCCGAGGCCGGCGCCACCCCAGCCCATGGCTTTGAGTAGCTGATGGCCCTTGTTGCTCTCGTCCAGGCGCGTGTTGGTGGCGGCAGCCGGGGTGCCAGCGCCGAACCCACTGTCGGCAGGGGTGACGGCGCGTCACACGCCGCCAGACGGACAGACGGGCTCACAGAGGAGCGCGGCGCGCGCTCACTCAGTGCGTGTATACACGGCGGCACCGCACAGCATTGTAACACACAGCTCACGCACCTGCACTCACGTACGGTTAACAAACACAACCTGCAACACAAGTCGGACTTCCTCGCATCAATTTGTTATATTTTCAGCTTAGGAACGCATCGACGACATACTCGGTCTCCAACTCATCCAATTACCTTAAAAGGGACTTCGCATATGCAAATGGGTGTCCCTGTCCATGGTAAAAGGTTTGTCTATACAAAAGGCTCATAGAACGGGCAATCGCATCACGTAAAAACTGCAATGTTCCAAACAGAGAGACGGTAACGACTTTCTGAACAGGGCGCAAAGATCTTGCACTCGACATGATACGCATAAGCTACCATCATGCACGGTCTGTCTGTATGGTCACACATTTTATACAGTTCTGCAGAACTGACCCTACAGTAATTTGTCAAGCAATCTGGCTATAAATCGGGCTATGCAAAACAATTATCATGCTATGCATCAGTACAGAACTTGATACGAAACACGGCACAGGCTAGTATCTTTACAGGCTAGACCCGTGTGACCCACCGTCCCAGGGACCCCAGCCGCGACCGGAGCCGGGGCTGGAGGTCGGCCCCCACTCATGGGCAGCCACTATTCAGGCCAGGCCGAATACCTTGCATCACCATGCATGGGAAAAATAGTGATTTGCTGACCGATTCCAACGGGTTTATTTCTTTAACATATGAAAACTGCGTATGTTTCGTGTTTAACTTGGTGAATTGGGTTTTAGCAAGCCATAGCTCCAATGATCACAAAAAAACACCGCGGCCGAGGCTATAGAAAACCCCCAAAAGTTGTGTGGGAGATGGCGATTACGTACGTCATTGGTAAATGGTTTTGAATCGCGCTGAGACCAAGATATCTCTACTGTGTTTCGACGCATATTAAATAAAGCTGCGCCAGATCTCACCATAAGTGTGTGCACATAGTGGCGTCCAATGACAATACACGTATTGCCATCAAGTGCAGTTTACCCCCCGCCCCCCCCCCCCCCCTTCCAGGGCAGAGCATCAGAAACCGTGCTTCGGATCATTCCCAGCAGCGCCTACCCGTCAGAGTCCGACTCAGGCGAGCCCAGCAGCGCGCCGTGGTCTCGGGAGTGACCTCGGCAGGTTTCCGCGGCGGGCGCCCTGCCGTCGGCGGTCTGTACTCACGCGAAGCTGGGCGGCGTGGGACTGCGCCTGTCGGTGGCCGCCGGCGAGCCGCTGCGGGATGACGAATCGGAGCCGGAGCCGGAGCCGGAGCCGGAGCGGGAGCGGCGCCGCCGGGCCCGTGACCGCTCCTCCGGCTCTGGGGACGCGCTGTCGGCGGGGGAGGGGGCGTCACACGGGGCGGCCGCTCCACCAGGTCCAATGCAGGCTTCCGACGGGAGCTAGCGACAACCACACGAACCAGTGCTGACTGATAGCCACGATATAGAAGACGCACAAGAGCACCCAGTGTACGAGGATGGCTAAGACTCTCGTGACCAGATGACGAAACCACAGCAATGTTTACCAAACATGTCAATACAGCCGGCGTCACGCTATTGCGCTAAAACCCCGCCTGTCCCTGGCCGATCTGAAGCGGGCGTGGGTTGGCTGCGGTCGCGCCCAGCTGACCTGGAGTAGCGACGCTCCTTGACGGGCGTGGGCGAGCGCGAGGTGGAGGGCGAGCGGATGGGCGAGGGCGGTGGCGACTCGTCCCGCTGGCCCTCCTCCACCTCCTTCTCCAGCTGGCGGCGCGCCGCCTTCTTGGCCTTGTAGAACTCGTACAGCGCCAACTGCTCCCAGCCGTCGCTGCGGACGCAGACGGCGACCGTCAGAACGGCGGAGACACGAGGCAGCCGGCCAGGACCGTCTAACCCCGGGCACGACACGGCGACCGTCAGAGCGGTGGAGACACGAGACAGCCGGCCAGGACCGTCTAACCCCGGGCACGACACGGCGACCGTCAGAGCGGCGGAGACACGAGGCAGCCGGCCAGGACCGTCTAACCCTGGGCACGACACGCGGCGAGGTACAGCTCGCCCTGAGCAGGTTCAGCAATATCACTCTGATCCGCCCAACCATGAACCGGACACTCCTTTGGACAGAAAGAGGTTCGGGCCTGGCGGAACGTTGTTTGCAGTTTAATACCAAAGCTGCGGGATTCGCCCCTACTTCACTGGCGTCTCTCTTTTGCCAGGAGTTTTCCCTTCACACTACAATAATTCTGCAACGTTCTTTGTAAGAGATGGCCCAATGGGTGGTGTGGGGTGGGGTGGAGTGGAGGGAGTTCCACCCAAAGCAGCGGGATGAGACGTCGCATTGTTGCACGCACTCACGACTGACACACTAGTTCTGTCACGACGTGTTACGACAATGCTGCCTTATTTGTGGGTTGTCTGCCTAGTATCTTTGTGCGCCACTTAGTGTACATGCGCACCCATTGTCATTTACAGGAACGTTGAATGAGTATGGCTGTTTCACGCCTCGTTAAAATACGAGGAACTGGCCGCCGCCAAACGGCACCGCCATGACTGGGCTGTTGAGCGCGAGGTGAGTGCCGCACAACCGCGGCCCTGCCTCAGGGGCAACGCAGAATGGGTGCCGCACAACCACGGCCCTACTCCAGGGGCAGCGCGCAGTGGGTGCCGCACAACCGCGGCCCTGCTTCATGGGCAGCGCGCGGTGGGTGCCGCAAGGCCGCGGACCTGCTTCAGGCGCGCCCGTGGTGTGTCCCTTGTAGCCCCCTGTATAGCAAATTACTTGGATTGCGTGAGCTCGCCACCTTAAACAGTTTTCCGGTTTTGTCTACAGACGGACTGTTATGTGTTAATGGGAGCGCTGCAGGTATTCCATATCGAATATACGTGACTTACAAAAATGTATCAACCCCTAACTGGCACAAATCAAAACGGCTACACCGAGTGGTACTCGCATTCTCACAGCGTTTCGATTGCCATGGCTACAGTGGAAGGTAGAACTTAAAGGTGGCAATGGGAACAGGAAACACACAGGCATGTGAATTCAGCTATTCGGAATTTACTGCGGGAGAAAAGCTGCTTTTAGTAATCATAATTCTCTACTCGTTCAAGAAACATTAAACATAGACCTGTATCAGTATGGCTTGTGACATTGATCCCGGGGCGCAGCGCGACGGTGCAGCAACCGATCCGACCCAGTGCGATGTTTGATGCTGCCCGCAACCAAACTCATCACCTGAAAATTAGGCATCTGGAGCACGACTCTTTTAAGACACCCAAACTAACGAAACCGCCCCGGCGCCTGCTGCCATTCGCACGGACATGACTGACCCAGACCGTCTCAGTATTCCCTAGCAGCCAGAGTAGCATATCCACTGACACAAACCAGATGACATGAGACACGAGTCACCTGGAAGACACCCCCGCTCCAGCCATCCTCTGCTGCTGGTTCCGCGCCCCCGCCGCGAGCGCAGGCGGAGTCGGTCGGCCGCGGCCGAACGGCGCCACTCACCGGTCGCGTCTGTTGGGCAGGTCCTCAGGCCGCAGGTTCCTGTTGCGCGGTCGGTCGTGGCTGGCCGGCGCGTAGAACGCCTCGACGGCGGCCAGCAACCGCTCGGACGGCGGCGCAGGCGGCGGCAGGCGGATGGCGGCCGGGTCGAGCGACCGGTACGTGTTGGCCTCGATCTACGGTGAGAGGGAGAGGACAGACGGTCAGGGCGCGGCGCCCACCGCAGCGCACTCCGCCCGTCACGGACCGGGTCACAGCGCGCGTCGCAGGGTGACAAACGATGCAGAGGAAGGCGCTCAGCACGAGCTGGGCATCGGAAGACAGGACCCATTTCGTTCAGACACCGTGAGACGCACAAAATCCGTGGAACGTGGGCGCTGCCCGCGTAACGCCGGCAGGACCTGCTGCCCGTTCGGCGCCGCCCGCCAGCCGGACGGCCGGACCTACTGCCTGCTCGGCGCCGGCCACCAGCCGGACCTGCTGCCTGCACGGCGCCGCCCGCCAGCCGGACCTGCTGCCTGCTCGGCGCCGGCCACTAGCCGGACGGCCGGACCTACTGCCCGCACGGCGCCGCCCGCCAGCCGGACCTGCTGCCCGCTCGGCGCCGGCCACTAGCCGGACGGCCGGACCTACTGCCCGCTCGGCGCCGGCCACCAGCCGGGCAGCGGCTCACCGGGATCATGGGCGCCATTAGGCCGGCCGGCAGGTCGAAGTAGGGCACGGACGGCACCAGGTCGTCGTCGTTGACGGCCGGCTCGTTGGTGAAGCCGGGCGGCGGCCGACTCAGGTCCACCATCGGCATGGCGGCCGCCTGGCGAAGGACGTTCGTCAATGGGCCAGTCGGCGCGCTGGTTGGTACAGCTCCGGCACGAAAACGGACCGCTGATCAATGAGTCCACAACAGAACAGAACAGGACAGATGGTCTGGACCGCACGTACCGCGACGGCCAAAGGCACCCACCAATGTACACTGGTCTGTTATGATCCGCGACATTGGCAACACGCTTCTGTCAGGAACGCTGTATCGTCGCATGACGTTAGGAATCGCGCCGCGTCACTAACAGATAAAACGGAGTTTGTTAAAAAAAAACCTTCGGCGACATTCCTTTGCTAGCACAACACTAAGCACACGGAGCATCTCCTTAGTATGCGACCAGCTTGCGTCTGGCGGTGCGGCGGCATCCGCCCCACACCTGCTGCTCCATCTCGAGCTGCTGCTGCAGCTGCTGGATCTGCTGCAGCGCGTGCTGCACGAACGCCTCGTGCTGCTGTTTATAACTGTCGAACTGCTGTTTGGTGGCGGCCGACACGGCGGCGATCTGCGCGGCGTGCTGCTCCAGCAGGTCGGCCTGGTACGCCTGCCACGAGGCCGGTGCCTCCTTCAGCTGCGACAGCGCCGACTCCGAGAAGTAGTTGGCCTTCGACTCCCACAGCGTCAGCAGCTGTGAACGAGACAGACGGGCGTGAGGTCCCTCATGCAAGCACAGTACATCAGCAGCACATGCGGGTGCCAGCCAATTACGCTAACCTTTCTGAAGACTTTTTGTTTAAACAAATACGGTCTCACAAAAGTCTGTTCTTCAAGAATCAGAAAATAATCAATCTAAAGCCCCTTTCCAACCCCAGCAAATTCAGATCAGGTGGAATATTCCCACGGTTTCGATTTGTACTCGGTCGTAGCGCTAAAGACTAAGACATTGTCGGGATGATGCACCTGATGTCAGGTGTCCATTGTCAGATGATGCACACTCGTCTCTCTTGGGCTCTATCCTCCTAATGCCAAAATGTTGCAGACTTTTTGTGGCGCAGGGAACCCATTAACCAAAACACACCTAACAAATCGGCCAGTGCTGAGCACGACTATATGCAGTTGGCAATAAAAGCCATGATGTCGGTCGAGGCCCATTCATGCTGCTCTCTCCGACCAGTCGCTGCCCCACCATGCCGGTCAGGCGGCTGCTCTGACACACCAGCGGACCAGCACGCCCGCTGGTCCGAACCAGCGACGCTGGGGGCTGCCCCACCACGCCGGTTAGGTCGCTGCTCTGACACACCAGCGGACCAGCACGCCCGCTGGTCCGAACCAGCGACGCTGAGGGCTGCCCCACCACGCCTGTCAGGTCGCTGCTCTGACACACCAGCGGACCAGCACACCCGTTGGTCCGAACCAGCGACGCTGGGGGTCGTGCCGCACCTTGTTGAGCTTGGCCTTCTGCTCCTGGTTGGCGGCCATCATGGTGTTGCAGAACATGGGCACCACCACCGACTCCAGACACTGGTGCAGGCCGTTCACGTTCTTCCGGACACTGGCAAGGGCCACACTGTGTCAGGTTGCGCCACAGGCGCGATAGCACACTGTGTCAGGTTGCGCCACAGGCGCGATAGCACACTGTAACAATTGTGGCGCTACCTCGGAAATGTGCCTATAGTATCATATAATATATATATATATATATATATATATATATATATATATATATTGTGATGCTCAGACGCAATGCGTGGTTTTGCCAGCGAAGATCAGCGGTCCCACGCAACGAAGGCGGAGGCATCACTGAACCCTGGTGCAAAGCAGTCTAACGACGCGATAGACACCAGCGGCGCGGTGGTATGGCACATCACACTCATCGATAGTGCACCAGTGCAGTTGAAGGGGCAGCTGTACGCACCACTGGTGCAACAGAGCAGTTGAATGAGCCGTCGGACTCACCAGTGGTGCAGCACGTCGTTTAGCAGGTAGATAATGTGCAGCTTCAGGTTGAACGAGACGCCCGGAGCCACCACTCTGCCGGTCACGGAGGCGGACGTCACAGCCAAACGCCTGAGACCGGCTACGACGCTCGAGTCTCGCGCCACCGTCTGCAGGCCGAGGCTCACAGCCACCGTCTGCAGGCCGAGGCTCACAGGCCTGCCGGACGGCACAGCCGCCGCCCTGCATACCCAGACACCGGGCTGCGTGCTGTAGCAGGATTTAGAGACCGCCACCGGCCAGGCTGTTAACGGTGCCACCCCGGCGAGGTGACACGTGCACGGCACATAGTGAACCAGTCGGCCCCATCTGTAAGATACCGGCCAGTCCGGCAGCGGTGCCACCCCGGCGAGGGGACTCATGCACGGCACATAGTGAACCAGTCGGCCCCATCTGTAAGATAGCGACCAGTCCGGCAGCGGTGCCACCCTGGTGAGGTGACCTATGCACGGCAGATGGTGTGTCAGTCGGCCCCATCTGTACGCACCACCGCGCTGCGGGTGAGATAAACGGAGTCGGAAACGGCCCTGCGTGACTCACAAAATGGGCCCAACATCAAGGCTTCCATACCGCTCACGGCAAGTCTGAGCACAGCCTCCGGCGCGGCGCGTGCCGACTCCCACCTGCCCGCGCCCGCCACGCCACGCCACGCCCGGCGATTGTCTAGAGTGCAGTCGGCACGCAGCACCATTTCCGCCGGTACCCGGCTCCTTGAAGGAGACTGCAAAGCCGCTAATGCCTCGGCATTGTAACCACTTACCTAAGACATCCACCTCAAGGTTCGAGCCTTCGCTTGCCCGGGTCACAGGTCTAATCGCTTCAAGCATAATTCGCTTCAGGACAAGAAAAAGTTGTGGATAAGCCAAGCAGCGTCCATTTAAACAGACTCAGTAAGGAGGGCGGGGGGGGGGGGGGGTACCAACGCCCAGCTCGCCTCCACTCAGACAATGCATCATCTCGCCACGGCGTTGCGCGTAACGAAGCGGAGTGCCGGGAGCTCTGAGCCGAGCCTGGGCTGCAGAGTTAACACGGCCCGGCCGCCGCCGGCTGCCTGTGACGGTGCCGCTCCGTCTCGTGCATGCACCGTTGCCGTGACGCGCGTCCCGCCGCCGACAGCCGGCGAGGTCGAGTTCACTATTGTCCGGTACGGTCGGCGGCACGGGCTGCCACGACGGCCGACGCCGCCCACAGGACCACCACCGACAGCGCGCCAGGCGCTGAACACTGCCACCGACCGGGCACCAGGTGCAAGACACTGCCACCGACCGCGCACCAGGTGCAGGACACTGTCACCGGCCGGGCAACAGACGCCGAACACTGCCACCGATCGGGCAACAGACGCCAAACCCAGCCACAGACCGGGCAACAGACGCCGAACACTGCCACCGACCGGGCAACACACGCCGAACACTGCCACCGACCGGGCATAAGGTGCAGGACACTGCACCTGATGATGATGATGATACACACTGCACCTGCACCATGACACACAGGACACTGCCATCGACTGAGCGCCAGATGCTGAACACTGCGACCGACCGGGCGGTGGACACCTCCCCTGACCGGGCGGGGGACACCTCCACTGACCGGGCGGTGGAGGCTGCCCAACCGCCGGCTGCTCGCAGCGGCGGCGCTAATGGCGCCGAGGTGACGAGTCAATGCACACAGGCGGGATTCCCGCAAGCGACGGAGCGTGACCAGAGGAGAAGGCGGATCGACATCAGTGGCGCCGCTGAAAGACGCTGCACAATAACTGGCTGCGGGATGCTGACGGTGGTCGGGCATTGTTTGTCTGCTTTCTTCACGGCATGTCACAGCTAAGCTTCTTCACGACACAGCTGCTTCCGCTGCGCTGGATGAAGCGGTGAACAGCGACTTCATAGGGGGGAGCCAAGCTGGTAACGTTGTCGGATCCGCAAACGCAAAAACCGAAGCAGGTTTCGACAAGTAAACCTGCAACTAAAACACAGCCTGAGCCAGCAGCGCTGAACTGCGTGTAGCCATGCGAGCGATCAGCTTTAAGGTGCACGCAGCGAACAGAACGGACAGACCCGACCGACGTATCGGGCACAGCTCCCACATCCGCCATACCATGCGACTATTGCCAGCACGTGGGCGTGATTTTCGTGTTTGGCCTCCGTGTCAGCCGGCAGGCAGCAGCCGTCAGGAGAGTCAAGGGCGTGCAACGACCCGTGGAGAGGCACGACTTTTTGCACATAAGTGGCGACCCCCAGCACTGGGCGCGTTGAAGTGAGGCGCAATGAAGGCTGTTGGTGCCGCCGACTGCGGTGTAAACCCCTCCCCCTCCCACACACAGCCTGCTTCCATTTAGCAAGGTCCGGCCTCACTCCTTCCCAGCAGATCACGTGCAACGCTTGAGTCCTCAAGGCCACAGACAAAACCTCACCGGATGCAAAATACGACCGGCCAAGACAATGGATGACGTCACGTTGTGCTCCTGCATCCGCTCCTAGTCTGTCCGCTGGCGGGCAGACAGACATCAAGCATGTAGTGTCGTACAGCGACCGACAGTAAGTCTCATTACATTGCTAGATCCCACCGAAAACAGGCGTACTTACACCTCCTCCTAATATATATATATATATATATATATATATATATATATATATATATATATATATATACGTAGATCGATAGAAAAATAAAAAAATAAAGTGCGTACTTCTGGGCCTGTAACGTGCACCTTTGCACATGTCTTTTCGATAGTTTTAGTATGCTTGTGCTATGTGTTTCCTTGTTAAACGTTCATGGTGCACGGGGTACATATTTTTGCCTGATGCACCTGTTGTAAGCTGTGCAACGCGTCGCAAGTCAAGATAAGAAGCGTAAGTGAATGATTTTCCATCACAACGCGCTAGTAAGTATCACAAATTAGTATGTGAACTATATATGCGTACATACATGCGCAGTTATGTGTGTATATGTGTATATATATATATATATATATATATATATATATATATATATATACATATATATATATATATATATATACATCTCTCTCCCTCTCCCTCTCCCCCTCCCCCTCCCCCTCCCCCTCCCTCTCCCTCTCCCTCCCTCTCCCTCTCCCTCTCCCTCTCCCTCTCCCTCTCCCTCTCCCTCTCCCTCTCCCTCTCCCTCTCCCCTCTCCCTCTCCCTCTCCCTCTCCCTCTCCCTCTCCCTCTCTCCTCTCTCTCTCTCTCCTCTCTCCTCTCTCTCTCTCTCTCTCTCTCTCTCTCTCTCTCTCTCTCTCTCTCTCTCTCTCTCTCTCTCTCTCTCTCTCTCTCTCTCTCTCTCTCACTACCGTGATTAGGTATCGACATAGACATTCGAGACGATGTGAAGTAAAAAAAGAAAGGTAAATACATGTACAATGCATGAGATATGCAACTGACACAGATTGCTGAGAGGCATGCCAACGTGTATTTGCTCAGCCACCAACAATAAAATGATACAAGTTCAAAGAAATCTTAATTGAAAGGTAAACGCAATTCCCACAAAGGTTTCAAGGGACGAGGCAGATTAAAAAATGCGCCTACAAACTTACTACAAAGTTCGGCATCTGACCATTTTCAAGAAACTCTATTTGCCGACTGTTAGATCTTTACATTGCGATGTGTTTGCAAGCTTTGGCTTAAACATGGTGCACGTATGGGCTACATATCGGACTGGTGCTAGCGTCCTGTTCGCCTACGTAAAAGCCAACATAATGCGAATGCACTGCAGAATGTCATACATGTCAGGCCGAGAGGTCACCAATTTCTACGCACTTCGTTCAAATTTTGGCGGTGGACCGAAATTGTTCCCACGAGCATATCCAACATATTAACAGGCAAATGGCACGTGTCAAGGACCACGAGTACAACGACCAACGTGCTCAAATTATATCTTCATGGTAGCCTATATTGTAAGGTGTCTAGAAGAGAAGTGTCATTTTCAAGAGACGACTATCTTGGTTTACCGGCACACCGGTTGCTTGGTCAGATTTCATAGCAGTGACCTGTGCCTGTCGAAGGCTGACCTGTGACGGGGAGGGTGGCGACCTGTCACCTTTGATGAGAGTTACTGTGAGGGGCGGGGCCGGGAGACGATGGCACACTGTGGCCTGTGACGGGGTGACGTGCCTCCTGACAAGGCACTCACGTCCAGCGTCCACCCAGCATATCTTATTGGGCTGATGTGAAACACTCGTTCCGACCTGCCATTCATCCAGCGTATTTGACTTCTCGTTCATGATGACGGAGGACCTGGGATTGAAGACACTCGTAAAATTACTACAGTAAGCAGTGACGTAGTTCACTACACCCATGGTGTCTGCGCCCGGCCATGGACGCCCAGGTCTAACCTCGCTGTACCAAACAATGACATCTCGGCGTGGACGGCATACCGCTGCTTTTATTCGAACTGTCGGCTTTGAGGTCTTTCTGAAGCGTAAATCCCAGCTTGACCCATCCTTCTGCTACCTGGGACTAAATAAAAAGGTAGCTGACAGACTGAGATCACGCATCTTGCATTTTCCGGCTCAGGCAGTAAACAGTGGCCAACCGTTATCATGAACACGGACTTTGCCGTTGACGACTCATTGTCGCGTCGCGCCACCTCCATTGACGATGTTCCCAGAACGGCGTCATTGTGCGGGGGGCGCCGCACTGCGGGGTGGCGGCAGCACAGTGTGACACCTGACTGCAGGGTCGCAGCAACACGGTGTGATACCAGACTGCGGGGTCGCGTGTGACACCCGACTGGAGGGTCGCGGCAGCAGGGTGACACCGCGCTGTGGGGTCACGGCAGCACAGTGCGACACCGCGCTGTGGGGTCACGGCAGCACAGTGCGACACCGCGCTGTGGGGTCACGGCAGCACAGTGCGACACCGCGCTGTGGGGTCACGGCAGCACAGTGCGACACCGCGCTGTGGGGTCACGGCAGCACAGTGCGACACCGCGCTGTGGGGTCACGGCAGCACAGTGCGACACCGCGCTGTGGGGTCACGGCAGCACAGTGCGACACCGCGCTGTGGGGTCACGGCAGCACAGTG